ACCAGACCTAGACTCCGGTACAGACATCCAGGAGTTGGCTTCTGTGGGCATTGTTGAGGCTGAGGAAGAGGAAGGAGTCCCTCTTCCGGTGCAAGCTGCCTCCTTGTCCTCCCAGACGAGGCTGCATAGGGGCCCAGTAGCTCGCTTCCACAGGACATCTTCAAGGCCTATCAGGATCTTCTGGGGGTGGAAACTGAGGAGCTTAAGGAAAAATCCCACAGCCTTATTGACATTCTGGCTGCAGTAGCTCCCTCCAAAGTGGCCTTCCCCATTAATGAGGCTGTAATGGGTGCGGTCAAGGCCCTGTGGAAAACTCCTTCTCTGCCTTTCACCTCAGGGAGGGCAGAGGAGAAATACTACGTGCCAGCAAGTGGGTTTGAGTACCTGTACTCGCACACACCTCCCACCCCCAGGTTCCCTGATTGTGTCGGCAGCCAACAAAAGGGACAGGCAGGCCCATTTGAGCGCTACCCCCAGACAAAAAGACACACAAAAACTGGACCTGTTTGGGAGAGACGTTTATTCAATGGGTAGCCTTCAACTGCATATCTCTAACCAGCAAGGTTTGTTAGGGAGTGTAGCGGGGTGGCTGCCCCACTCCTTTACTAGATGGGGCTTCAGCAGGCCAGGGAGGCGGTGCACGTGGGCAGCCAATCAGAGAAGGCCTGCTAGTGAGCCAGTCAGAGACTGAGTTAGAGACAGCCAATCAGAGCCAGACTCAGCCATATATAAAGGCTGCCCCAGGAAGGGAGTGGGCAGTCTCTCCTTGGGGGTTAAGGGAGGAGGACTGACTCCTGAGCTGGAAGGTAGCACCCTGGATAGAGCAGTGCTGGGGAAGGCCAGAAGGAGTTGGGGAGCACCGGCTAGGGAAAACCCCAGGCTGCTGGCGTAGGCCCGGTAGGTGCGTAGGGCCGAAGGGGAAGTGGCCCAGGGACAATAGCAAGGCAGTGGAAGAGAAGGAGGGCAGAGAGGCTGCCGCTAGAGGGTCCCTGGGTCGGGACCCAGAGTAGCGGGTGGGCCTGGGTCCCCCTCTTCCCCTTGTGCTACACCTGGCTGAAGAGGAGCGTGGCCTGATCCAGGCTGCGGCTGGTCCCTGCGATAAGGGGCTAGACTTAGAGGCTGCAGCCGGCCACTACAACAGGTGTAGCTCGTGGACTGCTGATAACACCAAACCCCCGGAAGGGGGTGAGACCGGAGCAGTGGGCACTGCCAGAGGGCAGTGCCCCAAAGAGAATGCTGCCTAGCGGGGAGCAACGAGGGTCCCCAAGCAGCAGAGCAGACGAAGGGCAAGGCACCACGTGAAAAAGGTGCTCCATGACTGGAGAGAGCTAATTCCCAGAGCAACCAGTGGGAGGCGCCAGCGGTGGTGATTCCTAACCCCGTCATAGGGAGATACAGTTGCAATCTTTGGGACTCCCTGGCCGAGTTTAAAGGCTCTCTGCCTCAAGATTCAAGGCAGGAATTCTCTACCCTCTTGAAGGAGGGTAAGAACGTGGCCAGGACCTCTCTCCGGGCAGCTCTGGACATAGCTGACACAATAGTCAAGACAAAGGCCTCAGGTGTCACCATGAGGCGTTGCTCTTGGCTCCGGTCCTTGGGACTTCCTCATGAGGCCCAGCAGTCTATCCAGGACCTCTCTTTTGAAGGCTCCTCGCTGTTCTCGGAGCAGACAACTCAAGGGTTGGACTCAAGGGCCACCCTCCAGTACTTGGGCCTCTAAGCTCCAGCTGCTTCCAGGAAGCACTTCAGGCCCCAACAGCCACCTCATTTTTTGGTGCTATCTCTGAGACAGGAGCCCTATAAAAGGAAAGGGAGCGTTTACAAGAGGCATCAGCCTCTCCTGTCCACCTCAACCTCCCAGCCAGGGTCTCATAGGTACTCCAATGAGCCCAAGCAGGCCTTTAGAAGGTGTGCCTGAGCACGCTATACCAGCTCACTCGTCAGATCCTGCTTCCCCTTTATTTTTGGACCGTTTGTCGCACTTCAGCCCGGTGTGGTCCTGCGTAATGTCAGACTGCTGGGTGCTAAGTACAGAGACAATTGGCTTTATCTTTCAGTTTTCATCCACTGCTCCCTCCCACCCACGTCCTTCTTCGGGGACCCTGCTCATGATCAGCCCTTACCTAGGAGGTGCAGCCCATCCTGTGAATGGGGGGCCATTATGGAAGTTCCTAAAGACTTGAGAGGGGAGGGGTGTTACTCCCTATATTTCCTAATCCCAAAGGCCAGGGGGGGCCTCCAGACCATTCTGGACCTGCATCACCTCAACAGATATCTCAAGAAATTGAGATTCCTCTTGATCTCCCTGATCTCCATCATTCCCTCCCTGTATCTAGGGGATTGGTATGCCACCCTGGACTTAAAGGATGCATACTTTCACATTTTTATCTTCTGTGGCCACAGAAGATTTCTCAGATTTATTGTGAACCAGTGCCACTACCAATTCACCACTCTTCCTTTCGGCCTGTCTGTAGTTTCTCAGGTTTTCACAAAGTGTATGGCAATAGTAGACGCCTTTCTCAGATGGTGAGGTGTCCAGGTCTACTGTACCTTGATGACTGGTTGATCAAGGGTCAGTCAGAGGCTTATGTGCGAACAGCATCAGCGTGGTCCAAGCTACCTTCTGAGTGCTGGACCTGTTGATAAACGTCCACTCTTGCTCCAGTTCAGAGACTAGAATTTATTGGGGGCAGTGCTTGACTTGACCCAAGCCAGTGCCTTCCTTCCCGAGGCCTGATTCCAAACTGTCAGACCTGATATCCAAGGTCATGGTCCACACAGTTATGACATCCCAAGTTTGCCCCAAGCTACTGGGGCATATGGCTCCATGCACTTATGTGGTTTGTCATGCAAGACCTAGGCCCCTACAGACATGGTTAGTGTCAATTTACTCCCCCAACAGACACCACTTAGATTCAGTGCTCACTGTTCCACCCCTCGTCCTCACCTCCCTGGACTGGTGGAAAGACCCAAGGTCAGTGATGATGGGAGTACCCTTTGTTACCCCTTCAGCCATCAGTGTCCCTAGTGTCGGACACATCAGACCTAGGTTGGGGAGCCCACTTCCACCTCCTCAGGACTTGGGGCCTATGGTCCCAGGAAGAACTGTCCCTGCACATAAACTTAGGGGGGAACTCAGGGCTGTATGCTTAGCCTATAAAGTGTTCTTCCCCCAGATCTCAGGCAAGGTGGTGCAAGTTCTGACAGACAATACCATGGCCATGTTCTGTATCAGCAAACAGGGAGGTGCTTGATTCTTTGCCCCGTCAGGAGGCCATTCATCTGTGGGACTTCTGAGTGTGGCACTTCATCCACATTGTGGCGTCACACTTTCCAGGATCCCAGAATGCACTGGTGGATCAGCTCAGCAGATCCTTTTTCTCTGACCACAAGTGGTCCCTTCACTCGGAGATTGCCAGGTTCTTCTTCCAAAGGTGGGGTTCTCCCCAGGTAGACGGGTTCACGACCAAGCAAAACAGGAAGTGCCATCAGTTTTGCTCACTGCGCAGGCACAGTCCAGACTCCCTCTCCGACGCCTTTGTGTTCCCATGGATAGGGCTCCTGCTGTACGCTTTTCCCCCTGTCCTTCTGGTTCCCAGGGTCCTCCTGAAAATCAAGCGGGACAAGGTGATGGTTATTCTTATAGCCCTGGCATGGCCACGTCACATCTGGATTGGCACATTGCTGTATTTATCAATAGCATCTGCTCTTCCACTTCTGCTCTGTCCGGACCTCATCTCAGAAGACCACCGCTGGTTGCTCCTCGCCCACCTTGCCTCCCTTCACCTAATTGCATGAATGTTACATGACTGAACCCGGAGGAGCAGGCCTGTTCAGAGCAAGTTTGAAAGGTCTTAATAGGTAGTAGGAAGCCTTCCACTTGGGCTACCTACCTGCCAAATGGAAGCACTTCTCCCTATGGGCATCTCTGTGAGATCTCTCTCAGGTTTGTTCTTCCCTCCAGGCTATCTTGGACTACCTGCTCTATCTAAAACAGCAAGATCTGGCCCGAGTGTATCTCAAAGTGTACTTAGCCGCAATCTTGGCCTTCCACCAGCCGGTGAACGGCAGGTCAGTGTTCTCTAATTAGATGATGGTTCAGTTTCTCAAGGGATTGGAGAGACACTACTCCCAGGTCTGTGAACCAATCCCTCCATGGAATTTAAACCTGGTTCTGTTGGGGCTCATGGGCCCTCCTTTCAACCCTTTAGCATCGTGCCCGCTACTACTTCTCTCTTGGAAGGTCGCCTTTCTGGTGGTGATCACCTCATCCAGAAGGGTCTCTGAAATCAGGGCCTTATGTCAGAAGCACCATACACAGTGTTCTTCAAGGACAACTTCCAACTGCACCTCCACCCGTCTTTCCTGCCAAAGGTGGTCTCACAGTTCCATAGCAACCAGGCTATCTTCCTGCCAGTCTTCTTCCCGAAGCCTCACAAGAACTCTGAGGAGCAGCAGCGTCATTCATTAGATGTTAGACGTGCCCTCGCCTTCTATATTGAGTGTATTAAATCCTTTTTCAAATCCACACAACTCTTTGTAGCAATAGCAGAAAAGATGAAAGGCCTTCCAGTATCAGCCCAGAGGATCTCCTCCTGGAGATCTGCCTGTATTCAGGCTTGTTATGAGCAGGCGAATGTCACACGTCCAGCCTGTCCTAACCACTTACTCCACGAGAGATCAGGCCTCTTCATCTGTGTTCCTTGCACAAGTCCCAATCCAAGACATCTGCAGGGCAGCAACTTAATCAGTGCATACTTTTGCATCCCATTATGCCATCACTCGACAGGCTCGAGATGATGCCAAGTTTGGAAGACCAGTGTTACAGTCAGCATGTCCATGAACTCCGAGCCCACCTACTGAGGGTACTGGTTGTGAGTCCCCTAATGTGGAAGCAAGCACTCGAAGAAAAAATGGTTACTAACCTTCCATAGCTGCTGTTCTTCGAGATGTGTTGCTCCTGTCCATTCCACAACCCACCTCCTACTCCTCTGTTGCAGTTGACTGAGAAGAAGGAACGGAGAGGGTGTGTGGCAGGCAGCACCCCATGTACCAGCACATGAGTACGCGGCTCCAGAGGGCACTAGAGCCAGCCTGACGGATACCACCGAGGGAAAAAATCTCCGGCAACGGTGCACACCCCTAACATGGAATGTGAGCAACACATCTTGAAGAACAACAGTTACGGAAGGTTTGTAATCATTTTTTCCGGCTTACAGCCATACCCATTTTAGACTGTGATCTTGTCAAATCTCAAAGCTAAGCAAACATGTCCCTGCCCTTTACTCGGATGTGAGATATATTAGGAAAAGCCTGCTGCTGTGGAAGGTAATGGTGGTGGTTCAGAAGGAGGCCTTTTTTCCTCAAGTCAATACTGGTACTTAACCCGAATTCCCATGACATTATGCTGTTTCAGATGCCGTTTACCTGATGAGACAATATGTCATTGTATGGTAATACTCATGCCATTTGTGCTCATTAAAGGTCCCATGGTACTATTTGTTTCACTGTAGGGTGGTGGTTGCTTCAGTAGTATGACCAAAAAAAATCCAACTATGGTAGTTACATTCTATCTTCTTAGGTTCTTCCTGAGTTTAAATTGGACACACAATTCTTCATTTGCCTCCAAAAAGACTACTGCTCTGGCAAAGAGAGATTGCTGTACTTTAACCCTAGAAATGGCAACTTTTCCTGATGATAGGCAAAAATTAAAATTATGGTTTTAGAACAAATGTGATGCTCACAGTCTTTTACAAACACAGCCAAAACTGCTTATGAATATGAACTTTATCCATAAATGATGTCTCATCAGATATATGACATCTGATATAGCATAATGTCATGGGAGTTTAATGTCTGACTTAAATGGAATTGCAGGAAGTTAGTCACTGTTATCATGGAGGGGTATGAAAGAAGGAAGACATGCTCCATTTCTGGCTTTATGTCAAAAATTGAAAATTTTTTAAAGTATTTTGGTCACTGGAACATGTTCCTGGAAAAAGAAATAAACGTTCATGCAAGTTTTCTGAAATTAGTTTCGATGTGTCTCACCAAATTTTATACTTGTATGAGCAAAACCCATAGCATCCCCAGCTACAAAATTCACAGTATTCTCAACTTCTCCTTTGTTTTGAACTGCACTTTCTTCTTTGGAATTCTGTAGCTGTTCTCTTCCAAACTTGACAATTTCTACTTAGTTGAAACTAAAATATTGGATCCGGTCTGCCAAATGTCAGCAGTATTGTCATACAGTTCCTTGGCTAATGAAGTGTATGTGTCTTCTTCATCAAAATACATTTTGGCCTAGGGAAAAATGCATTGGGCTAGGAGTCCGAGTCCTCCCTCTTTCGCTGACTGGTATTAATTATGAGTGATTCATAGCACTACTTATTGAGAAAGGTCTTGGGTGTCATACCCCTGAAGTGAAGACCCTGAGACACTGCTGAGAGTAGAACCTCTTTGACAGAGCCAAATCTCATCAAGTAAACCAGACTGCCTCTCAGAATAATTAGGCCAAAGCTTCATGCTTGCCTGTGCTGTCTGTGAAATGGGGCTACTCCACAAAGCACTGTGAGGCGCACAAATGAATGATCCTGTTGAGCTATGTTATCACATACCATTTTCTACAAGGTGGTGAAACAGGATTGCTATGGTTTTTTAATCATTTGCTATACATTTTTGAGGTCCTTGATACACACTTTTAAAATTTAAATTAAATTATTAAAATTTTAATCTATTACACCATTACAAAATTAAAATATTGATTTGACCTCTACGTGTGTCTGGCTTAAAAATTAATACATTTTTTGCTGTCAAAAACATTGTACCCAGTGAGTTTCTAGTTTCCCTAATCTGACTGATACTCTGCATTGTTTTTTCTTCTGGGGAATATTCAGAGGGAAACCTGTGTCACATTATTTCCTTATCAGAATTTTTCCAGCGAAAGAGAGACACTTATCTCTGTTCTTTTCAGAATTTTAGAGAGACCAAGTGGGTGAGGCAATATCTTTTATTGGACCAACTTTTCAGAATTTTATCATCTTACTCTGTTTCACTTAAAGTGGAACTAGCACAAATCTGTTACTTCTCATCTCTTGTAATTGAATATATTTCTGGATCTTGTCAATAGAGACTGTATTAACAGAATTAAGGCAAATTCAAGAGTGTGAACCTGACGTTACTCTGGGTTGCCCCTTTAAAAATGTGGATTCTCTGAGTTTGTGACATTGGTTAATAATATGCTGTCCTCAGTATAAATATGAAATTGAAAAATGTCTGTTTATTTAGAGCTCTTAATTTACCTCTTTCTTATTATTGTTCCATAGATATGAGTAAACAAAAGGCTAGAACTTCCAAGAAATAAAATTCCAGAAAAGGTGTTTCCAGATAAACTCATACCGAAAGCCTGTCTTTTGCTTTGTGCTTTTAATAATGCATGATTTTAATGCCTTATTTTTTCATAGTAAGCTGTGCTGGAACAAAAATGCAATGAAAGAAACACTGGATGAATGAATGAATGAAAAGCCCTGCTTTGCAATCCCTCAGCATGGCAGGACTGCAGCTTATGACCCCTGCTTCCTCACCAATGGGTCCTTTTTTTGGACTGCCATGGCAACAAGAAGCAATTCATGATAACATTTACACGCCAAGAAAATATCAGGTACTAATGACAATATTATTTTTCATTGTATATGAAAAATATTTCATTTTCATTCTATCTGTTATTCGAGATTACCTTCATGAGACTGGTTTTCTTGTTTTATGTGCATTTGTGTTAAGAGCTTTCCACTGCAGTGGGACCACTGGATCAAGATGGTAAAGGAGCACTCAAGGACGATAAGGCCATTGCGGAGAAACTAAATGAATTCTTTGCATCGGTCTTCATGGCTGAGAATGTGAGGGAAATTCCCAGACCTGAGCTATTCTTTTTAGGTGACCTTATCTGAGGAACTGTCCCAGATTGAGGTGTCATTAGAGGAGGTTTTGAAACAAATTGATAAATTAAATAGTAATAAGTCACCAGGACCAGATGATATTCACCCAAGAGTTCTGAAGGAACTCAAATGTGAAATTGCAGAACTACTAGCTGTGGTTTGTAACCTATCATTAAAATCAATTTCTGTACCAAATGACTGGAGGATAGCTAATGTGGCGCCAATTTTTAAAAAGGGCTCCAGGGGTGATCCTGGCAATTAGAGGCCGGTAAGACTGACTTCAGGACCGGGCAAACTGGTTGAAACTATAGGAAAGAACAGAATTGTCAGACACACAGATGAACATGATTTTCTGGGGAAGAGTCAACGTGGTTTTTGTAAAAGAAAATCATGCCTCACCAGTCTGCTAGAATTCTTTGAGGGGGTTAACAAGCATGTGGACAAGGGGGATCCAATGGATATAGTGTATTTAGATTTTCAGAAAGCCTTTGACAAGGTCCCTCACCAAGGGCTCTTAAGCAAAGTAAGCTGTCATGGGATAAGAGGGAAGGTCCTCTCATGGACTGGTAACTGGTTAAAAGATCGGAAACAAAGGGTAGGAATAACTGGTCAGTTTTCGGAATGGAGAGAAGTAAATAGTGGTGTCCCCCAAGGGTCTGTACCGGGACCAGTCCTATTCAACATATACATAAATGATCTGGAAAAAGGGGTAAACAGTGAGGTGGCAAAATTTGCAGATGATACAAAACTACTCAAGATATTAAGTCCCAAGCAGACTGCGAAGAGCTATAAAGGAATCACACAAAACTGGGTGACTAGGCAACAAAATGGCAGATGAAATTCAATGTTGATAAATGCAAAGTAATGGACATTGGAAAACATAATCCCAACTATACATATAAAATGATGGGGTCTAAATTAACTGTTACCACTCAAGAGAGAGATCTTGGAGTCATTGTGGATAGTTCTCTGAAAACATCCACTCAATGTGCAGTGGCAGTCAAAAAAACTAACAATGTTGGGAATCCTTAAGAAAGAGAGAGATAATAAGGCAGAAAATATCATATTGCCTCTGTATAAATCCATGGTACACCCACATCTTGAAAACTATATAGGGATGTGGTTGCCCCATCTCAAAAAAGATATATTGGAAAAGGTTCAGAAAAGGGCAACAAAAATGATTAGGGGTATGGAATGGCTTCCATATGAGGAGAGACTAATAAGACTGGGACTTTTGAGCTTTGAAAAGAGACAACTAAGGGAGGCTATGATAGAGGTCTATAAAATCATGATTGGTGTGGAGAAAGGAAAGAAGGAAGTGTTATTTACTCCTCTTAACACAAGAACTAGGGATCACCAAATGCAATTAATAGGCAGCAGGTTTAAAACAAAAGGAAGTATTTCTTCACACAATGCACAGTTAATCCGTGGAACTCTTTGCCAGAGGATGTTGTGAAGACCAAGACTATAACGGGGTTCAAAAAAGAACTAGATAAATTCAAGAAGGATAGGCCATCAACGGCTATGAGCCAGAATGGGCAGGGATAGTGTCCCTAGCCTCTGTTTGCCAGAAGCTGGGAATGGGTGACTGGGGTGGATCGCTTGATGATTACCTGCTCTGTTCATTCCCTCTGGGGCACCTGCCGTTGGTCACTGTCGGCAGACAGGATACTGGGTTAGATAGACCTTTGGTCTGACCCAGTATGGCCATTCTTATGTTCTTATTGCAGTACTCACTCTACTTCTTAACAGTTGCAGCAATGATAATGGTACCATACCTCTAGTCAACTGGAAATTCAAGACATTATTTTTCTGTACCAGCCACTGTTTAGTTTGCAAATTGGCCAGAAAGCATGGCTCAGGAGTATTGTCATGCTAATTTCTTTAATTATTTGAAAGCCTTATGTGTGAGGAGTGATCTGAAACAGCTGCTTTGATGACCTAAAATATTGGTCATCCAGCTATCAGAATAAAAATTGCTTTAAGGTGATATAAATTTTTCATCTAACGCTGTGCTAGGGTGAATCATACAAGTATTTCAACATGTAGAAGCCATGTGTAACCCATGTTAACATGGTATGGCTCCTTGTCCTTCTCTAATGGCTACGCCTCATAGACCTGGTCTACACTGGCGGGGGGGAGGGAAGCGGGATCGATCTAAGATACACCATTTCAGCTACGAGAATAGCGCAGATGAAATCTACTTATCTTAGATCGACTTAGAATCACTTAGTTCGCATCCTCGCGGTGTGGGATCGACGGCTGCCGCTCCCCCGTCGACTCCTCTTCCACCTCTTGCCCTGGTGGAGTTCCGGAGTCGACAGCAGAGCGATCGGGGTTCGATTTATCGAGTCTTGTCTACACTAGACACGATAAATCAAGCCCCGATAGATGGATCACTACCTGTCGATCCGGCGGGTAGTGTAGACGTGGCCATAGAGATTAGAGACTGCTGCTGCCTTTGATCTAATGGATCTGGTCCTTTTGCTCAGCTAGTGAGACTCATATTTTTAGATCCAGAAGTCAGCTGCAGGAATTAAACCAAGGACACCGAACTAGGGACATCATTAAATGTAGTAAAGATTTATTTAATCAGATATTTACAGCACTAGCAAAGTGAGGTACTGTATAAACCAGGTTGTATTTTAAAAGCTAGAGCTGATAACTTGTTTCCATGTTTTGAGTGAAACCTGACAATGTACTTTGTAGTGAATAAATTTCTTGTCCTATAAAGTCAGTGGTAGTTATTGGGGACTAAGTTAGCTTTAAAAATACCCATTGGCTTATCCACAGTTCATGCAGGTACAACTTCTGTGGACAGTTTTTGCTTTTGTTCGTTGTTTTTAATTACTCCACGTGTGCAAATAGTGACTTTTATCATTTGCAAATCTAGGTTGAACTGCTTGAAGCAGCTTTGGATCATAATACGATAGTCTGTTTAAACACTGGCTCAGGGAAGACTTTTATTGCAGTACTACTTGCTAAAGAGCTGTCCTATCAGATCAGGGGAGACTTCAACAAAAATGGAAAGAGAACAGTTTTCTTGGTCAACTCAGGTAAGAAAAAAATGGGGTTTATTTGTTTGGTGTGTGTGTGTTTATTACAGGAATAATCCTTAATAAAAGTAAGATAAAAGTGACCAGTTTTGTTTCTGACATTCTGCACAAAATTGCAGGATAGAATTACATTTATTCAGTCAGGCATAGTTTGAAGTTTCTTCATGTCCTTTACCCCCATGACTTTTGTCCACTAGAAACTCCACTTTTTTTTTTTTCTGTTGTTTTGCTAGTTCCCAAGACCAGACCAAGAAGTGAGTGAGGGCCAGTTTACTTTGAGATGTTGTTTAATTTCTGATCTTTCTTGGTGGGGGATGAGAGACAAATATGGAATGGTATATTGTGAGCTGCTATGCTTCTCCGTATGGTGCTTGATTTTTGTCTTATAATTGTGTATATCTAGTTTTATACTAATTTTAAAGGTGTTATAAAACTCATGGATACAATGGCATGTACACTTTAGTTTTAAGTATTTAAAAATTCTTTGCCATTTTGTTACTGAAAACTTTTTTTTTTTTTTTTTAAAGCAAATCAAGTTGCTCAGCAAGTGTCAGCTGTCAGGACCCATTCAGATCTGAAGGTGGGGGAGTATTCAGTTTTAGAAATAATTGAATCATGGACAAAGGAGAAGTGGAATCAAGAATTTGCTAAACATGAGGTAAGATATGTAATATAAACTGCCAAAAAAGTGAAAAGTTTACAGTGCAGGTGATCTGGGGAAGAAACTAATTTTTACCCAAACTAAATGCTATGTGACCAAGTCCTTCTCATGCTCAGTGCAAAGTTCAACATACTTGGGGTATTTAGAGGCAAACATAGAGATGCAATATTCCTGAGAGTATCCACTGTGTGTCTTTGAGAAGCTGGGCTTCCAATATTCCTTTTTTCAATCACCCTATCTTCCATGACTCTGATGATGGTGCCCAATCAATATTGGTATTGTTGAAATCCCCCATTATTATTGCGTTTTCTGTTTTTGTAATCTCCTCTAATCTCCCTGAGCATTTCACAGTCACCATTACCACACTAGTCAGGTGGTTGGCAGTATATTCGTACTGCTATACTCTAATTATTCAAGCATGGAATTTCTATCCATAGAGATTCAGTGTTACTCTAATATTTGTACTATATTTGACTCTATGGTTTCTTTCACATATAGTGCTACTCCCTCACCAGCACAACCTACTATGTCATTTCTATATAGTTTGAACCTTCATAATACTGTGTCCCATTGGTTATCCCATTGGTTAACATTGGTACAGTAATAGGGGCTCAAACTATATGTATTTCCCCAAATAATAACAAAAACAGAGGACCAGAAAAATACCAGTATTGCTAAACAGAGTACAAGAGGCAGTGAGAAACCAAAAGAAATCCTTTTAAAATTGGAAATCTAATGTCCTACTCTGGAAAATAGAAAGGAGCATAAACTAGCAAGTCAAATGTGAAAGTATAATTAGGCAAGCCAAAAAAGACTTAGCAGAGCAGCTAGCAAAAGACACAAACTAACAGCAAAAGTTAAAATACATCGAAATCAGGAAGCTTGCCAAACAATCAGTGGGACTGCTGGGCAATCAAGGTGTTAAAGGAGCACTCAAGGGGGAAAAGATTGTTGGGAGAAACTAAATGAATTCTTTGCATTGGTCTTCACTGCAGAAAATGCGAGGAAGATTCCCATAACTGAGCCATTTTTTGAGGTGACATTTTTGAGGAACTGTCCCAGAATGAGGTGTCAATAGAGAAGGTTTTTCGAACAAATTGATTAAACAGTAATAAATCACCATGAGCACATGGTCTTCACCCAAGAGTTCTGAAGGAACTCAAATATAAATTAGCAGAACTACTAACTGATGTGTCGCTGATTGCTTAAATCAGCCTCTGTACCAGATGACTGGCAGATAGCTGATGTGACATTTGATTTATTTATTTTTCTAAAGGCTCGTGAAGCAATTCTGATAATTACAGGCTGGTAAGCCTAGCTTCAGTACCAGGCAAATCGGTTGAAACGATAATAAAGAACAGAATTATCAGACACCTAGATTAGCTCAATAGGTTGAGGAAGAGTCATCACGGCTTTTTATGAGGAAATGATGCCTCACCAATCTACTAGAATTCTTTGAGGGTGTCAACAAGCATATGGGCAAGGGTGATCAGTCAATATAGAGTACAGTACTTGCACTTTCAGAAAGCCTTTGACAAGGTCCCTTACCAAAGGCTCTTAAGCAAAGTAAGCAGTCATGGGATAAGAGAGAAGGTCCTTTAGTTAATTAGCAATGTGTTTAAAAGACAGGAAACAAAGGGTAGGAATACTGGTCCGTTTTCACAATAGAGAGATGTAAACAGTGGGGGTTCCCCAAGGATCTGCACTAGGACCAGTATCGCTCAATGTATTCATAAATGATCTGGAGAAAGGGGTAAATAGTGAGGTGGCAAAGTTTGCAGATGATACAAAATTACCCAGGACAGTTAAATCCAAAGTTGACTGTAAAGCGTTACAGAGGGATCTCTCTCAACTGGATGATTGGGCAAGAAAATGGCAGAAGAAATTCAGTGTTAAGTGCAAAGTAATTCACATAGGAAAACATAATCCAAGATAAACATACAAAATGATGGGTTGTAAATTAGCTGTTATCTCTCAAGAGCGAGATCCTGGAGTCATCCTGGATAGTTCTCTGAAAACGTCTGTTCAGTGTGTAGTGGCAGTCAAAAAAGCTAGTAATGTTTGTGGTAACATGCTAATAGCTAGTATTTGTTGCATTTCTCTTTGTATTTTTAGGTTCTGGTTATGACATGTCATGTCATTTTGAATGTTTTAAAAAATGAATACTTATCCCTGTCAAACATTAATCTTCTGGTGTTTGATGAGTGCCATCTTGCAATCCAGGACCATCCGTATCAAGAAATTATGAAGGTAGGTCACCATTATTTAACCTTTTTATCTTCAGCGTCTCTAATTTCACTGAGATTCAGATCACAAATCAGTTAGTGAAAGCTCACTGGCTAATTTGACTTAGTGTAAAGATTAGTACTTAAAATCATTTTGGTGTATATTGCTCTCAAGAAGGAAAATATTTGAATTGTGGCTACCATTTTATGACAGAGTGATGTAGCGACTGGTAGTCAATGCTTTAACGCTATTCAAAAAGATAACTCTCATAAAATTGTTTTATTTGGTGCTGTGTAGGTTTTTGATTAGACAAATTGTAAATATACTGTAGAGTTTCTTGATTAGATAATTTATTCTAGTGTATTTATCTCAAGTAATTTTATATTCTTATTACAGTGTTCCAATTTAAAATATGTTTACTTAGAATTGGGGCAGTAAGGACAATCGCACTTTATTTTATTTCATGTAGATGACATGGGCTTCCTTCATTAAGCAAATTGCTTGGAAACAAGAACTTAACACTTGTTTGTGGTAAAATTTCAGACTAGAAACATGAAATATTTCTAACTTTTGCACGGCAGCTTAAATATGGATTTGTACCTTAAAAGGTGTTTCGTGTTTTTAAAATAAAATGTTTAAGTGTCACTCCTCTTCAGTACAAAACTGAGGATGAGAAACAATGGGAAGTGTACAGTGTATTTTGGGATGCTGAATTTACTGAAGAGTTATTGGATTAAATGGACACCAGTGATGACATAGAATGGTGAAGCCAGTAAATTTACCATAACGTACATTGGTGATTGGTCAGGAATTGATGTAGTAGTGCAGCTAGTTTTATTGTGAATTTAAAATTGAATCTTTTTCTGAGTAAATGAAATTACTGAACCTTTAAAAAGCCATTGATAAAATATCCATTTGAGAGAGTGTGGATGTTTTTGTATTTTTTAAAATACGTAGGTACTGATTTCTAAAGCTTTAAGCTTTCTTTTGTTGTGAGGGCATTTTTGGCCCTGTGCATTATTTGCCCTAATTGAAGTGAACCAAGCAACTCAAAGAGCATCTTTCTGTATTTTTTTTTTTTTTTTGCCTTCATCCTTCCTTCTTCCTCCCCTCCTTCCCCAATGAATGACAGGCTTAACCAGGGATCATGTAGTAGGTTTAATTTTTTTATAGTGGTATTTTAATCCTTTGACATGATGTAAACACTTAAAATGTGGTCATTTTTTATGGTATAAATGTTGACGAGGTACCTCACACTGCTTTTATGTGCTTTGAATATCTCTACTTAATAGAATGTTTAGCAAATTTCTGCCTTTATATACTTTTACTAAAACAATAAAAGTTAAAATTTTATATTTAACATATTTTAATTTTCTAATTTAACTTTAGTTGGTTAGTTATATTAGATTGAAAATATCCATTGTTCTTTTTCTGACACCTGGTGCTGAAATACTAGTTGAACCTGCGATCTAGATATCTATCTGTAAAGAATCAGAGGGGTAGCCGTGGTAGTCTGGATCTGTAAAAGCGGCAAAGAGTCCTGTGGCACCTTATAGACTAACAGACATCTGTAAAGATGCACTCAGGATGCGTTGGTGGAGGAATTGACAGTTTTATTACCCTGCTGTTCTGGTTTACTTCACAGATCTGTGAGAACTGTCCATCCTGTCCTCGAATCCTGGGATTAACAGCTTCCATTTTAAATGGGAAATGCGATCCTGCTGAGTTAGAGGAGAAGATTCAGAAACTGGAGAAAATCCTAAAGAGCAATGCTGAAACTGCAACTGATTTGGTGGTCTTAGATAGGTACATTTTAATACACAATTGTCAGTGTTAAATTTATATCTGTGTTTTCATATCAATAAGACTGAGGAAAGAACACTATTAGTAGCTATGTGTTTTAATGTTCATGTGTGTATATATATGTGTGTGTGTGTATCTATAAAATTATACATACAGTGCCATCACTTCATAAAAAAAATTGATGCTAAGTTTCTTTCTGAGTAGTTAGAGCTTTTAAATATTTTTAAAAGGTGCTGTGAAGAATTACCTAAGAAGAGATTTCTGAAAAGCAGCTGTTCCTTAGATTGAGAGCTTTTGGTGGCAGGGACTACGGTTTATTATGTTTTGGAAAGTAACTAGCATATTATCGGAGCTGTCATAACCTGTGAGCTGGTTTTGGCAGGATTTTACAACTCCCACTACAAAGTCTTGCAGATTTTAAAATGTTACTATGGTTAGAAAAAATGACAAAAGCAATTCAGAAATACTATCGCAGATAAGGACCGTTTTCCGTATGTTGGTATAGAGTCAAGAACATTGTGGGTGCTACCCACATACAAATAAATAGTAATAATACTATGGCTCTTGCTTGTCACGTAGCAGAAGAAAAATATGTACGTTCATCAACTTCTGCATCCATAGTCAGTGAGTTAATCGTAATTGCCCCCCCCACCGTGTTTGGTTGGTATAAACTTAAGTAGTTGCTTTAGTTAAGACAAAGTAAAAGATGGTATAATCACTTTATCCACTAGCATACACTTATAAAGGGGCCCTTATCTTAACTTACTTGAACAATTCTCTTGCAAAACTCACTTTCTTCTTTGAGTGCTGGTTCCTATGTGTATTTCATAGGATCCATCCATGAGTCCTGCGGCACTTCTCCCACTTGGCATCTGCTGGATCTGTCAAATTAGGAGGTGGAGGAAATTGATCTGGATCCCCAGGTATCAATGATAGCAACATCCTCATTTCTGGATGAAGGAATCACACTATCTTCACTGGACGACCAGAAGCAAAACCAGGAGCTACTACAGAGAATAGTGAATGACCTTCAGAACCACTGGAGGAGATCCAGGATTCCCAGCACTAACTGCTTGATGTTCTGCAACCTACAGGTCCAAGCAAGGTGGCACCACTTAGTTATCATGGAGCCCGCCAGAGTGGTCTGGCATACCCCAGACTCCTGTACCCCCACACCTAAAAGAACTAAGATGCTTATTTGGTCTTGGGCAAAGGAGATGAGTTCCTTTTCATCCATCCAGTGCCCAACTCGTGGTGGTGCAGTCAGCCACAGAGAGAGCAAGGTCACAACATCCTAAAACGACCCTGGATGAGGAGGATTCTGAGGTTGGAACTTTTGGGAAGATAGGTATTCTCCTGTGACCCTACAATTCTATATTACTATCTGAGGCTTTGTTACTGTAAAAAGATTTTAACTTCTACTTTAGACTTGCAGACTTTAAGGACAAACTTCCCCTCGAGGACACAGTCCAATTTCAGTCCTTCATAGAGGAAGGCAGGCTAGTGGCAAAAACATCCCTACAAGCTGCAGTGGATGGAGCTGACGTGGCAGCCAGAGTGGTAGCCACTGGTATAGTTATGAGGTGTAAGTCTTAGCTTCACTCTTGAGGGTTCCCCAGGAAGGATCAGAACATATAGAGGACTCACCATTCAACAAATCAGATTCAGTTTAATGAGAAAACTGATGATTCTCTATGCTTGTTGAAAGACTCTAGTCTAGATCAGTCATCCACACTCTGGGAATTTACCCCCCGGCCCTGAAGAGAAAACACTGCAGGCAGGTGTATAGACCAAGATCCACCCCCTCCACAATCTTTTTATCACCAGTGTCCAGCCAAGCCTCTGCGCAAGCAGCAGAGGACTCATGGGCTGAAAATCGAGGCCTCTACCCATTCCACCCACTTGCAAAGGGCTGCTTTTGATTCTTCAGTTGAGAACCTCCTGTCGTTATTGATGCCAACAACTTCTAGCCCTATGTCTTTGGGGGCCAGCTCTCACTTTTTGCCCACAATTGGAATGCTATCACAACAGATATTTGGAGTCTAGAAATTATCCACTATGGTTAATCCATCAGACTTCTCTCCTATTCTTCCCACAAATCCACTTCCTGGTTCCTCTTCAGAGATCACTTTCACAAGCAGATTCTTCTCCAGAAGGTGGGTTCTCTTCTCCAACAAGGGGCGACAGAATGACTGTCATCTCAGTATCGAGAGAGGGTTCTGTTCCACATACTTTTTTTTTTTTTTTTTTTTTAAGTCCTCCAGAAAGATGGAGAGTGGATATCCATTCTGGTCCTTCAACAATTGAATATCTTTTTTCAAAAGTCAAAATGCAGGATGGCTACACTAGCATCAATAATCTCCCTCGTCTATGTGGGGAGAGTGGTTCATGACTCCTTGACACGAAGGATGCTTATTTTTCATATAGATATTCGTCCATCCCACAGAAAGTTTCTTCAGATCCTGGTAGGTCAAGCGCATCAGTAGTTCAGAGTCCTTCCCTTTGGACTAGCAGCAGTGCCCAGGATAGTCATAAAGATTTTCTCTGGGGTGGCAGCCCAAATGAGATGTCACAGTTACTTAGGTTTCCCATATTTGGATGATTGGCTCCCAATAAGTTGCTCCAACAATAAGGTCAGGTTGGTGACTATGTTACTGCTTTATCTTCTAGCAGTGCTGGATGTCTGCATGAAGAAAAGTCCATCTTGATCCCCACACAGACAGTAAAGTTTATTGGAGTGACATGACTTAATTTCAGCAAGAGCTTTCCTCCCCACAGAAAGATTCCAGTCAGTGAGCAATCTGATATCACAGATTACTTGCAGACCAAATACTACGGTTAAAGTATGCCTAACTTTACTAGACCATTTGGCCTCTTACATTTATGTGACATGATTCACCAGACTTCAGCTATGCTGACTACTGGCTTGGCTCTGGTCCATTTACTCACCAGACCAGAACCACATCAACACCAGAGTGACTGTTCTCACAAGGATCATCACCTCTCTTACCTGATAGTCGAATCTGGAACCACTGCAAGTGAGAGTCCACATCAACACTCCCACTCTTAGTGCCACCATCATAACAGACTCATCCCTTCTGGGTTGGTGTGCTCACCTGAATAACCAGACCGTACACTTGGACCCCACAGGAGGCCAGACTGCACATCAGCCTGCTAGAAAAGAGAACAGTCTACCTCAGCCCATCAGCTTGCTCTCTTGGTCTGCAGTCCCTCTCTTGCTTCAGGACAAAAAAAACTTCGAAGAGCAACTAGCAAACGACACAACTAACAGCAACATTTTTTTTAAAAGTACATCAGAAGTAGGAAGCAGACCAAACAATCAGTGTGGCCACCGGATGATCAAGGTGGTAAAGGAGCACTCAAGGAAGACAAGGCCATTGCTGAGAAACTAAATGATTTTTTTGCATTGGTCTTCACTGGAAACGATGTGAGGGAGATTCCCACGCTTGAGTCATTCTTTTTAGGTGACAAAACTGAAGGAACTCAAATTCAAGACTGCAGAACTGCTAACTGTGATAAGTAACTTATTGCTTAAATCAGCCTCTGTACAAGATATATTAGCTATACTCCAGTCAACACCAATTTAAAAAAAATAAAAAGGCTCGAGAGACAATCCTGAGAATAACTTCAGTACCAGGCATATTGTTTGAAACTATAGTAAAGAACACACAGATTAATACAATATGTTGGGGGAGAGTTAACACAGCTTTTGTAAAGGGAAATCATGCCTCACCAATGTATTATAATTTTTTGAGAATGTCGTTAAGTGTGTGGACAAGGGTGATTCAGTTGATATAGTGCACTTGGATTTTCAGAAAGACTTTGATAGGGTCCCACACCAAAGATTCTTAAGCAAAATAGGGAGTCATGGGATAAGAGGGACTGTCCTTTCGTGGATCGGTAACTAGTTAAAAGATAGGAAGCAAAGGGTAGGAATAACTCGTCCATTTTCACAGTGGAGAGAGGTAAATAGTGGGGTCCCCCAAGGAACTGTATTGGGGCCAATGCTTTCTATCATATTCCTAAATGATCTGGAAAAGGGGTGGCAAAGTTTGCAGACAATCACCTCCAAAGTTGACTTCGAAGAGTTACAAATGGATCTCACGAAACTGGGTGTCTGAGCAAGAAAATGGCAGATGAAATTCAGTGTTGTTAAGTGCAAAGTAATGCACATTGTATGTTTAGCTGAGATGATGGTTTTCCAAAGTGATGGGTTGTAAATTAGCTATTATTACTCAAGAAATGGATTTTGGAATCATCGTGGACAGTTCTCTGAAATTATCTGCTAAGCGTGCAGTAGCAGTCAAAAAATCTAACAATGTTAGGAACCATTAGCAAAGGGTTAGAAAATAATACAGAAAATATAATGGCACTATATAAATTCATGATACTCTTGCATCTTGAATACTGAGTGCAGGTATGGTGACCCAGTCTCAAAAGAGATATATTAGAATTGGAAAAAGTATAGAGCAGTGCAACAAAAACTATTAGGGGTATGGAACAGCTTCAGTATAAGTATAGATAAAAAGACTGGGACTGTTTAGCTGGGAAAAGAGGCAGCTATAAGGGGCTTTATGATAAATGATGTGGAGAAAATGAATAAGAAAGTTTTATATACCCCTTCACATAACACAAGAAACAGGGGTCACCCAATAAAATTAATAAGTAGCATGTTTGAAACAAACGTATGAAACACATAGTCAGCCTGTAGAACTCATTGCTAGGAGATGTTGTGAAGGCCAAAGGGGTAGTAGGTTCAAAAAAGAATTAGATAAGTTCATGGAGGATAGGGCCATCAATGCCATTAGCCAAGATGGTCAGGTACACCTTATGCTCCAGGTGTCCTCAAACCTCTTGACTGCCGGAAGCTGGGACTGTGAGATGGGATCACTCAATTTCCCTGTTCTGTTCATTTTCTCTGAAGCATCTAGCACCGGCCACTGTTGAAAGACAGGATACTGGGCTAAATGGACCATTGGTCTGATCCAGTATGGCCATTTTTATATTCTTATGTTCTTTAAAATATGGAAGAGTCAAATAGGACCTGTTACCTAGCTAAATGGAGATGCTTCTCTACCTGGGTGCAGGTCAGTCAGCCTTCTTCAGACTCTGCAAATATTCCAGTCATGTTAAATTACCTCCTGTCATTGAAGAACTCGGGTCTCTCTCTTAGCTCACTGAGAGTCCATCTCATAGCAATCAGTACTTTCCTTCCTCCAGTAAATGGATGTTCCATTTTTACTCACCCAACAATAGTGAGATTCATAAATGACCTTTCCGCCAATGGTCAAGCCTTACCTCAATGGGACCTCAAACTTGTCCTTTTAGTACTCACCAAACCACCATCTGAACTTTTAGCTATATGTTCTATGTTCTCACCTTTCTGTGAAAGATGCATTTTTAGTTTTTACTTCAGCCAGAAGAGTAAGCAAGATGGGGGCACTCATGGCAGACCCACCATATACAGTTTTTCGCGAGGAGACGGTTTCCCTTCACCTTCATTCTAAATTCCTCCCTAAGGTAATTTCTGAATTTTTTTTGTCAGCCAACCAATCCACTTATCTGTTTTCTTCCCAAAACCTTTTTCTTTTCCATTGAAGAGAAAACCTTCATTCCCTGGATGTCAGATGTGTCCTGACATTCTATTTCCAAAGGACCAAACCAATGAGAAAATCACTAAGACTGTTTCTCTCTATAGCAGAAAGGTTGCAAGGACAAGCAATATCTTCTCAGAGAATCTCTAAATGTATTTCTGGTCACATCACCACGTACTACTAGTGTATCCATCCCCTGGATGGAGTACGGGAATGCTCAACGAGAGAGCAAGCTGATTCTATAGCATTTCTGTGGGAAGTACTGATACTGGATGTATGCAGAATGGCTATCTGGAGTTCCAGTCACACATTCACAAAACATTACATGCTACTTCAGGCCTCAGCTTCAGTGGCAGCGGTGGGGACTTCAGTCCTTCAAGCATCTTTACTGCCAGCCTTCTCGAACCCCGTCTCCAGTCTCAATACTGCTTGTCAGTCACCCACATGTGGAATACACATAGGTACTAACACTTGAAGAAGAAATGAAGGTTTACTTACCTGTAACTGGAAGTTCTTCAAGATGTGTGGTGTCTAGCTTTAGTCCACTACCCACTCTCCATTCTCTCTGCTTTGGATCTCATTGGATTTGCAGTTAAGAAGAAGCAGTGAGGGCCAGTGCCTCTCCGGTTCTTCCTCTTATACCCTCAATCTGGAGCACGAGGAGAGCAATTGGGCACTGCTTGTTGAGAATCTCCGGATGCAGGTACGTGGCAGGCATGTGTACCCATGTGTGGAATATAGATAGGAATCACACATTTCAAAGAACTTCAGTTACAGGTAAGTAACATCCATTTCATACATGACTTTGACACTCACTCCTGAAAAATTCAAATATATGCGTTTGGCTCCTGCATAGTGTGTGAATTATATTTATGTAGTCTTTTTTGAGAGATACTAACACTAAGGCATTAGAAAATAAGTACGCTGTTTTTGATGTCCTATATAATATCTTAAACTGTGTATTCATTTGTTTTCTGTTTTTCTGTTTACTACCAAAAAAATTTTAAAAACTCTCAAATTGGTTATGGCTGTCCTTCCTGTTTAATGTATAGCCTTAGTAGCTAAAAACAACTCTGACTTTCAACAGCTGTGGTTGACCAAATCTTTTGCTTCTCTCAATGAAGATATACTTCTCAGCCATGTGAGATTGTGGTAGATTGTGGACCATATACCGACAAAAGCGGGCTGTATGAAAGATTGTTAAAAGAATTGGATGAAGCACTTAACTTTCTAAATGACTGCAACATATCTGTACATTCAAAAGAAAGAGACTCTACGTTAATTTCTAAACAGGTAAGGACGTTATGTCAGATATAAAACACATACTTAGATTTTTATCGCTGCTTGTTCATTGCTTTCCAAGTTAATTACAGAAACTTTTATTTTAGTTCAGCCAACCTAAAATATATTAACAAAATTAATCTTAATTTCCTGTGACTGATTTCCTTTTCCTGTTTTCCTTTGAACCATGGGTGAAATCTATTGAAGTCAATAGCAAAACTCCCCCTGATGTGAAGGAGTCCAGGATTTCGCCCCCTAACTCTGTTACTTTAGAACTTTGTCAGATTTGTGGATCAGATATATTTTCTTTTTCATTTTGCATAATTATTTTATTGCTTATACATTGGCCATTATTGTTAAGACCCAGTGACTTTTCCAAATAAGATTTTAATAGTGCAACAACAACAAGAAAATGGTGCTTCAGGAAGTATTCTGAAAAAGTATCCCCAGTTGGTGTCGTAAGACGAAATAAACTCTCAGCCAGATACCCTGTTTCAAACTCTCTGCTTCTTTCAGTTCCCATGTTCTTTGAGTCTCTTGAGTTACAGGAGCATTGCCTACATTACCTGCCAAACAAGCTGTAGAGAAAGGAGTGCAGAATTGCACAGGGATTGCAAAGAGTCTTCCCGATATCTCTGAGCAGTCAGGAATGGAGAGGCAGAGAAGAAGGAGAAGAGAGAAGGATAGTTTTTTCAAGTGGAGTTTTGTAGAGCCATAAAAAACCTCATGGTCCAACATTTTAACTGTATTGTGATGCTTCCATTGTAATATTATATCAGGATGTGATGGGTCATGAATTTGTTTTAGTGATATAGCAACATCACAACACAATGTTAGGATGTCACGCTATAGTGTTTATGTGGCATTTGGCCATTTAACTCAATGACAAAGATGCCTTTCCAGCAGGTTGAGTACTGCTACACTAACCCTATTTAAATTAATTGAAATGAAATTTATTTTTTCTTTAAACTGTTCTTTTCTCTGTTTAAAGTGTAGTTTTCATTTCCTTAGTTTAATTAAAATGGTTTCTTTTGATAGAACAGACTTAATGAGCTCTAGTTAAATACATTGAATAATATATAATGAATTGAGAGCCTTATTTGTGGAATTTCTTGGCAAATTATCAGTCTCAGATAATGATGCAAAAGTGCCTATGGAAAATATTGCCTTGTTTATAAACCTGTTTCCCCATTAGACTGTGGGGATAATACTGTCCAGTTGCTCATAACTGCATTATGAATTATTTTTTAGCATAATTATTTTGAGGCAAATTTCCAGATTGCAATGGCATCAGACTACAAAATAGTAATTAAATCCTTCTTGTCCAAGGACAAAAATGATAAAATGTAGAGTGTAGCTCTAGCGGCTGGTGTTTCTGGTGAAGTATTTTTACGTTTTCTCCTATCAAGTTTGTGGGGGACTTCTAAATGAAATAACTTGTAAATATATTTTACAAAGAAACCAACCACTATTGTGCCTACAATGAGGATTATCCTCGTATTAGAAATGAAAGCCCAATATAAAATGAGTAAATTATTAATATATCCTGTTGAACTGGGGTTTGAATTCATTTGTTGTAGATACTGTCAGACTGTCGAGCTGTGTTGGTTGTTCTGGGACCCTGGTGTGCAGATAAGGTAGCTGGAATGATGGTGAGAGAGCTACAGAAGTACATCAAACATGAGCAAGAGGAGCTGCACAGGAAATTTTTATTGTTTACAGACACTTTCCTAAGGAAAATACATGCACTGTGTGAAGAGCACTTCTCACCTGCCTCACTTGATCTGAAATTTGTAACCCCGAAAGTAATAAAACTGCTTGAAATCTTGCGCAAATATAAACCATATGAGCGGCAGCAGTTTGAAAGTGTTGAGTGGTATAATAATAGGAATCAGGATAATTATGTGTCTTGGAGTGATTCTGAAGATGATGATGAGGATGAAGAAATTGAGGAGAAAGAGAAGCCAGAGACAAATTTCCCTTCTCCCTTTACTAATATTTTATGTGGAATTATTTTTGTGGAAAGGAGATACACAGCAGTCGTCCTAAACAGGTAAAGCTTTTAAAAATGAAAATCTTAAAGAATGTAACACTGACAAAAGGAAAGGTGTTTTAGCGTTATCTAGGAAATTAAGTGTTGTGTTTCAGAAAAGCCACTCCATTTTGTGTTTAAGAGTCAAACAAGAGACCTAGAACATTTGTCCAAGAACCAATATGAGCTTTTGAGTAAAATTTTCAAAAGTACCTCAGTCACTTTTGAAAATAGGACTTAGGCTGCAAAATCACTGAGGCACTTCTAAAAATTTTACACTGTGAATTTTATCCTGTGACCATATATCAATTTGATTCCAGTTTAGTGGAGCCCAAGCTGATAATTGTAAGTTCAAAAAAAAAAAGTTTATACATGCAATATTGGAACATTTGGAGTTTTCAAAACTCTTTATTCAGAAAATGTCAAGCCCTTGTTTTTGCTTATCAGCAACAAAAAAAGGTGGCCACTGGGGCATCTGCCAAAAAATATTGAAGATGTGTGCATACTCTAGTTGCATAAGGTATGTTTCTTTTTTCCTGAACAGGTGATCTGCATTAGCCATAAGTTACACCACTTTACTAGTAAGTGCTGATTGCCCCAAGTAAACAATGAAAGAGGTACTTCAGCAAATAAATTCGTTTTTCTGTTTTTAAACTGCTAATATGCTGAAAAAATACCCCCATACAATTTATTTTGTGCGTTCATCATGTATTAACATTAAATATTTTTACTTACGTTACAAGTTTAAACAGGCGGCAAAGAATCCTGTGGCACCTTATAGACTAACAAACGTATTGGAGCATAAGCTTTCGTGGGTGAATACCCACTTCGTCAGATGCTCTTTGCCACTTTTACAGATCCAGACTAACATGGCTACCTCTCTGAAGTTTAAACAAGATCTCTCATGGAAGGAAATGAAAAGTTATTCCACCTAATGGTACATGTCCTCTACTTCTCCATGCACAAACATACACCTTGCCATTTCCACAGCTGTCATACACCACAGATCTTGCTCCACAGCCTTAGCACTGTTCTGTTTTCACCCTTCTGTTCACATCATTTTACCAGAATATTTTTTCCCCAACAATAGCAGTTGGTTGTGTAGGAAGATACTAAAGGGTTTTATGCAGAAGGATGGTTCAACGGTGTGATCTGGGAGGTGAGTTAAGAGTGCAGTTCATGGTTTGTGGTGTACAGTGGTTGTGGGTGAAGTAGAAGGTCTGTATTCTTAGCTCAATTTTACATTTCCTTGCTTTTGTGGATTTGTCAGGAAGTGTCTATAGCAACCCCAACTGCTTCCAAATTATTTTTTTTTTCTCTGTGGTAATTTCCTGGGTTGTTTCTACAGCTTAATTAGGGTGGGTAACAGACCTGTGGGGATGCAAGGACACCAAGAGAATGTTATCCTTCGATAGTTGTGCATGAACTCTTTGTTATAGGATAAAATCTGCAGAAAAACCTCCATGGGGGAGCAACCCTTATGTGCAACCAACCCCTATCAATCAAGTTTGCATTCAGCAGTCCCTATCAATCAGGCTTACAGGTACCTCCCCTCTCTTCATTCTCTTTTCCCTCTCCTCACCCCACCAGATCAATCAGTGGAATTTGTATGAGCCTGCACCTTGCACTCATCTTTCAACCACTCTCTCCCATTCCAATCAGTCTTCTGTATACCCATACAGCAAGCAAGGTTATATGCCCCATCAATCAGGTTTGTGTTCACTCCAAATACATTTTCCGTTATAAAAATAGTGGATAATTGCTAAAAATGACCCTAAATCCAAAACTGTCTTTAAAAACAAAAACAAACAAAAGCACACTCTGTTGCTTTGGGGCTACTCAGGATCCACCTCTCTACCAATTTTTGTGTAGATAGACAATATTTTTAATAGGTATCAGTCAACAAGGAAAAGTTTCAGAGCCCAAATTTAAAGACTTCCTGTTTAGTTTCTCTTCACAATTTTTTTTACATAAATTCCGTAGAAAATTCAGAGGACATAAAAACTAACCATGTTTGAAACTTCACACCAACTGGTCTCCTCCATTTAGAGAGAAACAGGATTTTATGCTGACTGTTAAGCCCATTTTGGAACACAACTGTGGAGTCACTACTAGGCACCTCCATAACTTTTTGTGGGGTCAGTTTTCCCAACTGTAAGACACATTGGCTAAAGTCGAGATTTGGTAAAACTTTGTTGCACTCATAAAATGTTTTCATATCTAATTACCTGTTTACATCCATAGACACACAAATGAAAATGTCTGCCATGGATGCACATATGAATTCTGAAGAGGCATGAATTAAGCCATGTCTGTTTGAAGATTTGGCCCACATTTTATTGAAAAGCCTGCAGCAGTTACAAGAGCTTATTGATTTTTGTTCAGTGGAGTTTCAGTAAATGCTTGCTATACTTTTTTTAAAAAAACTGCATAGCTAAATAATTTTATTTTGGAAAGAAACGTAATGTTCTGCACCTGCCAGTACTTAATATTTATTTGGAATTTGGGCCTGATCCAAAATCCACTAAAGTCAATGGAAAGACTTCCATTGATTTCCAAGTTTTGGATCAGAACATTTATGAAGTGTGTTTTAATTGAATGTACACTTTAATTATTTGATCACTTGACCTATCCTTTGAACTGTGCATTTCCCCACATGCACACTTTCAGTGTATTTTATCCTTTTTCTTTGCCTTTTTGCACCCATAAATGTTCATGGAAGTGTATTATGTGATACAAGTCAAGTCTTCCAGTGAAATGAATACATGTTTTTAATAACTTTTTAAAAGGTCTTTACATTTAATGAAATCTGATAAATATGCCTGGCAACCTGAAATAAATATTACATTATACTTCAGGGAGTAAAAGATTATGAAGTCACAGTTCATATAGACTACTAAATGATAAATTTGATTCAAATGCTATTGTACTTTTTCCATTGCACTGTACATACCTGCATACTTTACATGATATATAAATCAAACTACACCCTGGCTGCCACAACACTTCAAACTTACAGTACATTTTATTTATTTAAATTTATAAAGAATTAACAAAAAGGCACTTACCTTAAGACTCCAGACAACCTTCACATGAGTTATGGTGACCAAAGTATAAAATGAGCATTGAGCATCTAACTCCCACTCCAAAAGTCAACCACTGAACAAAGATTCTCAAAAAAAGTCTCCCCACACTCACGTGAGTTCCAAACTTAAGCTGCATCAAACTCTTCCCTCTGTGTAGAATCATATGGTTAAAAGGTACCATAAGGGTTATCGAGTCTAACCCCCTGCCAAGGTGCAGGATTTGTTGTTTCTAAACCATCCAAGACAGATGGCTATCCAGCCTCCTTTTGAAAACCTCCAGTGAAAGAGCTTCCACAACCTCCCTAGGCAGTCTGTTCCATTGTCCTGCTGTTCCAAAAACATTTGTGAATAGATTGGGTTTACAGATTACTTGGAAGGTCAGCAGATCCAAGGTGTTTCAGACCAAAGGCTGAAGACCCCTCACTACTGCCAGTTCCTTGCCCTTTCAGTTGAGAGGGATTCAGCTCAAAGGCATCCGCTGATTGCAGTTGCAGCAATAGGGCACACAGAGAGAGGCATTCTTCCCAAATCAGAAGATCCCAAAACATTTAGGGCTTTATAAGTCATAACCAACACCTTAAATTTCACCTAGAAGCCAATAACTAAGCCCTGCACATCATGAAGTGGGGCCAGATCAATATATAGGCACTGTTGACTTGTTTTGCTGCTGTTATAGTAATAATTACACTTGGTCTACAGCTCCTGGAATTATGTAATGGAGTCTGATACTGGTGGTAAAAAGGGGTGCATGGATATGTCTACACTGCAATTGAAAATCCTCGGTTGCCTTGTGCCAGCTGACTTGGACCATGTTTAATTGTGGTGTAGACGCTCGGGCTGGTGGGAGAGTCCCAGAACTGAGGCTGCAGCCTGAGCCTGAATGTCTATACTGCAGTTAAACAACCTGTTAGCCCCAGGCCTCCGAGCCTGAGTCAGCCAGCACAGAGCAGCCTTGGGAGTCTAACTACAGTGTACACATACCCTGTGGCAGAAACAGGTAATAATTTAATATGAAATGATACTTAACTACTAATCCCTTTCTTCAGAAACAGGATTATTGCCTAAATTGTAAATATTACTGGTCAAACCAAAAATTGGCCTAATCTGTGTATAGTAATGATCACGTATCATTTTCACCCACTAGTTACAAATGCACAACAAAATCAGTTGTCATAAATTATTAGATGTGTGTTAAAAGCATTTGTTCATTCATTGCCATAGGTATTTTTTAACTTATATTTCAGTTGTATACCTCGGGAAATGTGGGGGGAAAATTCTATTTAAGAAGGTTTTTGTTATACTTTTTACTGTTTTTTGTTTGTCCATATTAAAAAAACACAGTATATGTGTGACATTCCTGGGAACAATCCAGACTAATGAAAAGTTCTGTCACCCTGCCTTGCACCATTGGGTGCCTTACAATGCCTTGCTGAAGGGGCTCCCACCTCTGCCACTCACAAACAGCCTTCCAATGCAAGCCACACCCTGTGTGTGTGTGTGTAACTACAGCCTGCCAGCCACACTTGGGTTACACTCTGGCTCTCCCCAGCCTGGGTTATACTGCAGGGTGCCCCCAACACACCCTCAGTCTTAGATTTCCCCCCAGAAATCTGCCCAGCCCTCTCCTGAATAATACAAGTTTTATATAAAGTCCATTATTACTTTAATAAAAATAATATACATGCAACTTGCCATCCCAACTGGATTTTTCCAGACACTTCAATTTAAACACACTTGCTTAGCTAAAACAAGTTAGTTAACTAAAAAGGGAGAGATTTTAAGTGAGTACAAGTAATGGGGCATAAAAGTCTGAAATGGTTACAAGAAAAACAAAGGTAAGTTAAGCACTCCAGTAGCATTTTAACTTAACACGGTTACATTCAAAGCAGAGCTTTCTCTCCACATCCTTCTTAGGATCAGGTCAGGACCCCTTCTCCCAGAATCCAATGAATGCTTTCTTTGTTGCTTCAGGTACCGTCAGTGCGGATAGATAGGGAGAGAGAGGGAGGTGCCTTGGGGTGTTTATCCTTCCTTTTTATAGTTTCAGTCCCCCCCCTTTGAAAACATTTCCAACTGGGTACCAGGGAACCAAAAGTCTATGGGGAAGGATGATTCCTGCTGCTTGTTCCTCACCAGTTTGAGCTTCCTTTGTTGTTTCCCTTCCTGCTTGATGACTCTGTTTACTGTTTAAATGCAAATTAAGCAGATCACACATTCCTTTGTTTGAGATAGACCTGTTTGCCAACCTCAGTTTGGAACACATGGAGTTAACACCGTATAGTAGAATCTTATAACTTCACGTACAGTGTTATCACATGCATTTTATCAGGATACTGACCAGCAAATTGAGATTTTCAAATGATACTTTACAAGGCATATTTGTACAAAGATAATTACAATACTGTGTAGGTTGTGAATACATGGATACATTCTGTCACAGTATATTACTAGTTTATGGTCAAAAATAGAAGAAAATAACTTAATACATTTTCCTGTAAGTAATTGCCTGTGAAGTTGTGCACTATGAAATGTTATATCTCGATGTCATTAATTGTATATTTCTCTACAACTGAAGTGCATTAAGACCTAATGCAATCTTTAATAGAAATCCAAATTTGAGATTTATTTCTTTTGATCATCTTTGATGGGATAAAAGAGCTTTAGAATAGGAATGTCATCTAGAAGAAGAAACAAAGGTAAAGATTTTCAGGGTCTGACTTTCCAAAAAAATAAAAATAAAAAAAATCAGGTACATAACTGCCCTCCCAATTTTCTGCAATATCCCTTTCTAATGGTTGGACCAGGGTGGGATTGAGATGTTCATACAGCCTTTGACTAACAGACTCTGGGTCTTTTAACACAGGTAGTAAAGACACATTTTTAGACCCAGAGATTCCAGGTTCATCCCCCCCTGCAGAGGACTCCCCATTGGGCATTGCATTTCAAAAGCAATTACTGTGATTATACACACACGTGTATTTATACAGACAGATGGCTAGTTGCTTAACTTACTCATGAAATCAGTGTTGTACAGACAGACTTTTAGCTTATTAGGCCTATAAGAAGAAGGGGAAATACAAAAGAAGAGACCTATTTAAAAATGAATGCAAAAGGATGAATAAATATGTATAATCATATAATGCATGCTCAGTATTATTGAGGAATTTATAATTTCACCAATTAATTGCAAACATATTTAGGTTAAATAAGAAAGATACATATCTATATTTTTAATCAGAGTGCTAAACATATCTAGTTTCTCAAAACATTACAGCAAAGTCTTAAAACTTTTTGTCATTAGCATATATGAACAGAAAATATAATTTAAATTATGCAGATATTTATCCTTAATATTAAGCTAATAATCTTACATTCCAACAGAATTATCCATAACAGTAAAACAATTTCTGTATATCTCACCTTTTAATACTACCTTACTTAACCTGCAAAGAATCAAGAGGGTCTTGAACTGTTTTGTGCTGTGATTGTGAAGTCAGTGTCCTCTCGGAAGCTTTGTTAATTTACAGAACTAAGCCTTGATCATACAGGTAGCCCCTTGCTGCACGGGATCCACCCACACAGAGATAGTTGCAGGATACGGGACCTTACATTTCATGTTCAAGATGTTTTTATTTGTGTGTATGTGTGTGTGATATACACACATGCGCTTTTCAGTTTGCTTTTCTGTTTATAAATGTTTGCATATGTACACCTATACAGAATACACATTCAGTGTAGTTGACAACGCCACAACAGATAAAGGTGTCAAATGTTTGAGTACAGAGGTTTGTAACATTTAGAAGAGATGTGAACACTTGGTGCTGGTTTCTTAGGTTCTGTCCTTTGTAGATTTTGACCAAATGACTAGTGACGTGGGACCCTGAGTTCTAGGGTGTCCAACATGAGGCCCTTTGGGTATGTCTATACAGGGATAAAAAACCTGCTGGAGTCCAAACTTGAATGTCTACACTGTGATTTTTAGACCCACAGCCCTAGCTCAAGTCAGATGATGCGGGCTGTGTTGCAGGTCTTTTACCCCTATGTAGACATACTCTAAGAGGGGCCTTTTTGTTCTGTTGGGGATACTTGGCACTTCCTGAAAAGTAAGTCCCTTTAAAGGTGTCTCAGTTTGGGCACCCAGAAACTGTGGAATCCCAAAATCACTGGTCCCTTCTGAAAATCTTGGCCTTCAAGTATAGACTTTTCCATACTAGACCCAAAGCATGTGCGTACGTATGCAGTCCATCTTTGATTATCCCTACAGAAGTTTTCACCATAAACTTTCAGTTTCAGAAAAAAAACATGCTAAGGCCATCTTGTATATATGTTGGCAAAATACCCGATTACCAAACTTCAATTTTTAATATAGGTCTTACAAACGAAAGATTAACTTTCATTTTCTCAGCTATGCCTGACTCCAAAATGTGTGTAATATTCTTAGGTTGATAAAGGAAGCTGGAAAACAGGATCCAGAACTGGCTTACATCAGTAGCAATTTTATAACTGGACATGGCATTGGAAAGAATCAGCCTCGTAACAAACAGATGGAAGTGGAATTCAGAAAACAAGAAGAGGTAACTTAATTGAAAAGAATTCTACGATACTACTATGTTCAGAATCATTTCATTTGCAGGCAAAATCTGTGTGCAGTAACTTCTGGAATCTCAGGAAGTATTCTGACTTGACAGATCTGCACATTTGTTTGTGGTGCAGATGTTTTTACAAAAAATGTGTTTAGAAAAATTGGGTGGTCAAGTTATATAATCAAATAGAATTTAAAATGGTCTGTATAACTAGTTTCTTGTCTTGTCACATCAACCACTTAATTCTCCTCTAATGGGTTAACAGTGCTACATTACTGTTTCACAGAAAATAAAGTGTTTTGGAATTTCCTGACTGCAGTGTAGAATATTAAGCCCTTTTGTAATAACAGTAAATTGCTGATCATTAAAAGCTCAGATTTACATTGAGTCTAGTGTCGAATAAAAACCCATGGTCTTGAATTTCATGTTGGGACTTTTAAAAAAAAAATTAGCTTTAACTGTGTTTTGTATTTGAACTTGATAAAAGCCATATTTATAACCTGAACCCCCATAATTGCCTTATTAAAAATATTTAAATCACCTACCCTGTTACAGCTTGACGTACTTTGATACTAGTAGCTTATTAAATTCAAAGAAATAAAATTTAACACTTTTAAAAATACAAACATAGCTTCCAACTTGATGATAAAAATCTATGAAAATGGAACGTCCTAGCACTCTGAAATCTGTATTTGATTAATTGGGCTGGGTGACTGAGTAATTTTGCATTACAAGGTTTGTTATAACGTATTATTGGCCAGGATCCTTTTAACAATAAACGTTGTGTGGAATGTTTGTTTGGCCTGTATGCATGATAAGGAGTGGGGGAGCATTCACAAATGAAAGACTTATAATATTGCTCTGTCTTTTTTAAGGCTGTTGTTAAATGGTGATGTGGTGTAACAGATATTAAGTAGAGTCCATTAATGATTTAGCAACCAATTCATTAAAAAAGCCAATGGTTATTTTAATAAGATCCTAAAACAAAAGTTAAAGAGGACCAAAATTAGAGAGTGTATTAGTGTTTTAGCTGAAGGGAAAATATTTAGAAAGAACCCTATATCTATCATTTAAAATACTTTCAGTTTAAAAACAGTTGAAAAGCTAATCTTTGTTAATCCTGTTTAAAAACTGAATCTCTTTTGAAAATTAGTATGCTCAACATTGCCAGAAGCTGGGAATGGGCGATAGGGGATGGATCACTTGATTACCTGTTGTGTTAATTTCCTGTGAAGCACCTGGCATTGGCTACTGTTGGGAGACAGAATACTGGGCTAGATGGACTTTGGTCTGACCCAGTATGGCCGTTCTTATGATCTTACCTACATTGACATTTCAAATTAGTAAATACTGCTGGCAATTGTTCAGTAACAAACTTGATTTAAAAAAGGAGTACTTGTGGAACCTTAGAGAAGGTGCCACAAGTACTCCTTTTCTTTTTGTGAATACAGACTAACACAGCTGCTACTCTGAAACTTGATTTAAAAAGTAGCCTAAAACCACATGAACTGCAACAAGTAGTTTACTGTAGTTTATTGTGTGGGGGAGGGAGGCTGTTTCTTCCACACATAGTATAATGAGCTATAAATTCTTATGTTTTTTTTCCTTTTAAGTGAACCTGATTTTTACTTCCTTTTTATTCCTTTTCTGGATTTTACAGAATAGTTTGACATTTTTCTTTTTGCAAGTATTTTTGTCAGGATTTCTTATTTCAGTTTGTTTTTATATAACTGTTGTGACTTTTCTTTTAGCAGGTTTACCATAATTGTTCCTTGATCCTAGTGAATTTAAATTGTTATTAGCAGAAACATCAACTGTGGAAATTGTCATTTCCAAAAATGATGCTTCAACATCAGAAATGCTGATTGGTTATTCCCAAATTATTGATTTCAGAAATGCTTTTCTGAACAAACATTGCTGGAGCATAGCCAAAAGATATGTAATATTGTAAATTAAGCAGGTTTTCCCCACCCGCATGATTAGAGGTTCCCACATTTTTTTAATTTCCCTCGTAATTTGATATTTAAGATGTAATTCCTGGGAAGCCATATTGTCTTTCTGATTAAATGTTGTTGCTCTAAGAGTCTCTGAAATTTTTTTTATTATTATTGTTGTTTGTTTTGGCTGAACACGGTAATCCTTCTGATTCTTTTTAAAAATGTTTTTAGAATTCCAATTCTGTCCTTTTGGGGGGGTTTTTTGTGTTTTTTACATAGCATTACAAAATTCATTAAAAGTAATTCAAACAGTTGTGTACTGAAATGATTTCTTAGACATTTCTTTCTTGATTACTTTTATAGGTACTTAGAAAATTTCGAGCACATGAGACCAACTTACTTATTGCTACTAGTATTGTTGAAGAGGGTGTTGACATACCAAAATGCAATTTGGTGGTTCGTTTTGATTTGCCCACAGAATACCGTTCCTATGTGCAGTCCAAAGGAAGAGCCAGGGCACCAATCTCAAATTACATCATGTTAGCAGACACAGACAAAATCAAAAGTTTTGAAGAAGATCTTAAAACCTACAAAGCAATTGAGAAGGTATGTATCCAAAGGAACATACTTCTTGGTTAGCATAGTAGTAAAAAAAAAAAAAAATAGCCTGTTTCTCACATTCTGTTCTTAAAATGTTAAGATCCTCAGAAACAAATGCTCAAAGTCTGTTGATACTAGTGAAACTGAAACCGAATCCATCGTGGATGATGATGATATCTTTCCACCCTATGTGTTGAGGCCAGATGATAGCAGTCCAAGAGTTACAATTAACACTGCGATTGGACACATCAATAGGTATGAGGCAAATTCACTTTTTTCTACTGAAGTTCTCCATTGACTCACAAAACAGGGCAGCGTAAGGCAGTGCACTGAAAACTTCCCCATAACACTCTACCAACATGCTTCAACTCTATTCTGAATGAGATCACCTCTGAGTTAGAGAGGGCAGGCCTGCTGTCAGATCCATTCAGTCCTTGTCTGAGACTGGTATCCTTGTTGGCAGTTCTGATGATTGGTATTAGTGATGTGGATTCCCTTTCTACTAAGAACTACCCAGGGATATGAACATAACATGACTGATGTGTACTCCCATTGCTTAATGCATTGCTGGAATGTACTGAGTTACTATGGTGATATGGGCTGTATAAAAACCTTTATAAAATAGAGACCACCAACACATTTAATAAAGTCCACCATTCAGCCATCAAATGGGAAGAGATGTAGTTGCTTTTGACAGTGCCAAATTTTAAAGAAGTGCTATAGTTGAGGGGGGCCACATAAAATCCTCTCACTCACATTTCTGGTGTTTATGATCTGCTGTATTATTTTAAAAAGGGTATTGGATGACAACATTAAATCATTTTACTTTACTAAATATTAATTTTGGGAAATTCAAGAGATAGGCAGGACTAAAATCTTCCATACTTCCTGCATTAGTAATTTGAGAGTCCCTGTAAGCTGTAAATAGGATCTTGCTTTTGGATTTAGAAAGATAGGCTTTTTAAAATCTATTGTCAAATTAGGTACTGCGCAAGATTACCAAGCGATCCATTTACTCATCTGGCTCCTAAGTGTAAAACCCGAGAACTGCCTGATACTACATTTTATTCAACTCTCTACCTGCCAATCAACTCACCTCTTCGAGCCTCTATTGTTGTAAGTACTTGGTATGGGGATGGAAATAAGTGAATTATGTATGTATATATACCTGAATGAATTTTCCATTGGTATTAATTAGTAGCCAGCATATATGCTCTTTTCTTTTGCTGTAACACACACTGTAACTACCTGCAGACCACTTCTGCTTCTTTTGTTTGTAGTCTGTTTTCTCAGCAACTTCCTTTCATTGTACATCCCAAAGACTTTTGCTGCTTTTCCCTCAGCCTCATGAGCAAATAAGCCGCAAATAAGCCACACATTTGCTTATTTGAGTTGTGGGATGTGCTCCAGATTTATTTATTTATTTATTTCTGCACTTTGCATAGGCAGTATAAGAGTTGATATTGTTTTTTAAAACAGTAACTCCTTTGTGTTGAGTTTTAATGTCTGTTCTTTCTGAGTTTATGAAACCATTATAATGTTTGTTAAGTTCTCACCATTTAAATATATTGGTAAACTATGTACTGTTAAAGATAGATTTAAGATATTTTGTGAAATATTTTGTAGGGTCCTCCAATGAGTTGTGCAAGACTGGCTGAGAGAGTGGTAGCTCTTATTTGCTGTGAAAAGCTTCACAAAATTGGTAAGTGTCTTTGAAAACAAGGATCTCTTTGGTTAAGGGGAAAAAGTCTTTATATTGAGGCATTTGGAAAGTTGTAGGTAAAGACTTCTGTCATCTATAATATGGTAGAGGAATTCATGGTTTAACCCCCATTGCACAATGTTCTGTGATGTGATCATATAATGAAATAATTTAACATGCATCCATGTAGAGGTGTAGAGTTAAGGTTGTCAAGGGAATCTCACCACTGAATTTCTGTGGTTTTTAAAATGGTAAATTCAATATCAGTTGCGGTAACATAACTTTTGACATGGAATATGGTTTTTATACAGGAAAAAAATTTCAATGTCAGCTAGCAAATCACATTTCAGAGTTCTAGTGTAATTTGAGAGCTGTATTTCTCAGCCATGAGATAACCATAGAATATGATTTTTCTAAAAGTTCATTGTAACAGCATTTGTTATGTACAATCCAAAATTCAATGCTTTAAGAGGAGGCTTCTCTAGTTAACTACAAAATATTTATCAGAACTCTAAATTCTTCAAGTGCTGGTCCCTATGTGTGTTCAGTATGTGAGTGTGCATGTGCACGATACACCTGAATCCAGAAAAAATCTTGCAAATAGTGACCATTGGTCTGCCTCTGAGCCCAGGTTCCCTTTGGGCTCTGCACCAAGGATATAAGGGGAGGTGTGGACTGACTCCTCCAGTTCCTTCGTACCACTACATGGCCTCAGTCAGAATCCTCCAGTGTCTGGAGCTATCCTCACATCGAGTTTGTCTTCATCTTGTAAATATAATTGTATATATTTTAAGTGCTTTTATAGTTTTCTGTATAGGTAGTGTAGCTTAGTTCCTCATCTGGTGGGGAACCCTCTCTGTCTCCCCTTTTGGGAGTAGGACTATGTCAGAATTTCGGGATTCAAAAACTCTCTATCCTGCCTTTGCTCTTTCTTGGTCAGTGATGACCACCTAAGATCCCTCTTGGCTGCGTGGCCGCACAGCAGCTTATTAAGAGCTGCGCAGGGCTGCGGCGGAGAAAGCACCTCAGCCCAGGTGCTGCTGTGGGGAGAGAGAGGGGACGGGGGGAGGAGTCCTCTCCCTGCTGTAGCCCCAGAGCAGCCTGCACTCCAAAACCTCATCCCTGGGCCCCATCCTAGAGCCCTCACCCTTCCTGCACCCAAACCCCCTGTCCCAGCCCCCTTCTGGACCCCAGAGCCTGCACCCCCAGCCAGAGTCCTCCCCCCTGCACCCCAACCCTCTACCCCTCCCTGAACCCCTTCCCACGTTCCGAACCCCTTCCCACGTACCAAACCCCTCAGTCCCACCCTGCCACCTGAACTCTATGTGCACCAATATGGAGGTGAGGAAAAATTAGAGGGAACACTGATGACCACCCATGCTGTCTTTACTGCCTTGGGGAAGTTCACGTCTCCTCCAAGTCCAATATTTGTTGCTTCTTCCCACCCCAGACCAAAGATAGACGAGAGGAAGTATCTCATGGAGAAAGCCCTGTTAGATCCAGGCTGGGGAGACACCTTTGTACATTGACTGGAGGCTTTGAGCAGTTCTTCTCAGAGTATGAGCTCTGGAGCAGAGGCTGGATCAGTTAAATCTAAAGACCTGTTGCCTTGGACCTCTCATAAGAGTGAGGGGAACTCTTTCAAGCATAAGAACAGACCATCCCCCGTCTAAGTAGCCTTCTCAGAGAAGGGATCCTCCCAGTGTCCTTCCAAATCAGGTGAGTCTTTGCTTGTCAGTCTGCCGAAGCCTTTTGACCACAAAGGGAAAGCGTACAAAATGAAAGCTTCCATGATACCGGTACCAACATCGGTGCTGACCACAACCTTAAAGAGTCAAAGTACCATCAGCTGCCAGTACTGAGGAGCGCCAGATGGGATCCTCTCTGCCCAGCTGTACCAACCCGGTTCTGAAAGCACCCACCAACAACTAAGTCTGTCATGGCATTGGATCCAGCAGAACTGACAACCAGGACTGTTTGTACTCCAGAATGGACTGAGACATACACTACACCAGAGGATATCTTCATCCTCCTGGACTCGCAATTTCCTCTACTTTTTAGCGTAGTCTTTCTGAGGACCATATTGACCCCAGAAAGGGACACCACTTCAAGAAGGAGGAGTCACTCCCCTATTCCATCCATAAGCCAGTCTTTTCTTCCACTGGTACTGACAGTACTGCTGATGGAACTGGATCTGCCTTTGCCATAGACTAAATGCGATGCCCAAGGCAAACCATCATCTTCTCAACCTATGGAGGTTATCGCAGACAGGACTTTGAGAGTGTCTTGGACCTGTTCTCTGCACAAACATGGTTCCCCTCCAAGAGAGCACTGGTACCCACTGTCCTGAGGTCCATCCCAACCAGTCTTCAACCCTTCATACTGGCCCCTTGGCATCCATGGGACCCTTACCAAATCCATGCACGCAACCAGAGTCTCCCCATCCTTCTCCTACTAGACAACAGCAGCCAGCTCTGCAGAAGTATATGGAAGAGGAAGATGATGAACTGGATCCTCTGGTACTAGCAGTGCCAACAGGCATATCATCTTCCTCACCTGATGAGGTAGTTACCCTGTCTTTGCTCTCACCCAGTGACCCTAGGTAATACCAAGCACTATTGGAGACATTGGCAGCAGAGCTTCAAATTCCATTAGAGGATGTTCAAGATATGCAGCACAAACTCTTGAACATGTGACAGCCCGCCGGACCCAATTGGGTAGCATCCCTGTGAATGAGGCCATTATGGAGGCCAGCTAAAGTGGTATGGCGTACACCAGCAACTTGTATCCCTACTCCTAAGGGGAAGAACTCTTGTTCATTGGCCCTACCCCTAACTCCCTAATAGTGCAAGCAGCCATGAAAAGATCCAGGAAGCAACACCCAGGAACTACCCATACGTACAAGGTAGTTCAACGCCTTGACCTGAGGAGGAAGGTATTCACATCCATCAGTCTCCAGTTGAAAATTTCTAACTACCAGGCCCTTTTATGAACTATGCAATGTTACTGGAGTTCAAAGATAAAACTCCTCAAGGAGGACAGGGCTCAATTCCAGGCCCTTTTTGAGGAAGGTGGACTTGTGGCAAAACCTCACTGTAAGCTGCAGTGGAAGCAGCTGATACTGCATCAAGATCTATGGCAACCACAATAGTAATGTGCCAGGAGTCATGGCTCCACTCTTCAGGGTTCCCAAGAGAGATTCAGAACACCATTGAGGAGTTTCCTTGTAATGAAACTAGTCTCTTTAATGAGAAGACAGACAAGTCTTTGCACTTCTTAAACTGCAGGTCAGCCCACTGCCCGCTAGGCATTTATTCTCTGGGCCTGAAGAGGAAACACCATAAATGACCATATAAGCCAACACCTCTTTCCTTAGCCTTTCTATCACCGATGACCTTACAAAACTACGCGACAAGCAACAAAAGGTGCAGAAATCAAGATATGCAGTCTCATCCATATCAGTGACAGCTACCCAACCTCAGCTACCAGCTAAACTATAGAGTGAGTGCCACCTCAGCATCAAGGGAAAGGGTTCTATTCCAACTGTTTCATATTTCCCAATAAAAAGGGAGGCTGGAGGGATTATTGACCTGCATCAGCTAAATACCTTTATTTACAAATTAAAATTCTGCATGGTTACATTGGCATCAATAACTACTTCCTTGGAAAAAGACACATGGTTCACAGCTCTCCACATAAAAGATGTTTGCTTTCATGTGATCATCCACCTGTCCCGCAGAAGGTTCCTCAGTTTTCTGGTAGGTCAGGAACACTGTGAATACAGGGAACTCCTGCACAATTTGGCAGCAGCACCCAGAGTCTTTGCAAAGGTCTTTCCAGTGGTGGGAGCAAAGATGAGATGAAACAGCTACACTATCTTCCTGTACTTGGATGACTGGCTTTAAACAAGTAGACAATGCCTAGGAGCTCTGATGGCAACCTCGTCATTACTGGGTTTTGGCATCCTTGGTGATCTGCATAAAAAAAAAATCTGTCCTGATTCCCATGCAAATCAGAAACTCTATAGGGGTGACCCTGGACTCAACTACAGCAAGGGCCTACTTTCCCGTGGACAGATTCCATGCCATGAGCAGTCTAATAAACCAAGTCACACTCAGATGTCGAATGGTCAGGTGGGCCTGCAATGGTCAGGTCGAATGGTCAGGTGGGCCTGCAATGCATTCCTTCCATTTATATAATCCCAACATTTCTGGATAAGGAAGGACCTACTAACTCAAGAAAGCAGCAGGGTCAGGCATCCCAACCCAGATTCTCTTCACCTCACGGCTTGGTATTTGGATAGTTTTCAAACCCAAAGCATTCATGTTTGGCAGTTGAACTATTCTGAATAATAGCAGGAAAGATTCTACCAGAAGATGTTACCTAGCCACAGGGAGGAATTTGTATATCTGGTCACAACAGATTCAGTATGGTCAGAGTCAGCAGATATTCCTGCTATTTTAAGACATCGAGTCTCTATATTAGCTTTCTGTGGCCTCACCTAGCAGCATCCGTGCATGCCATCCTCTGATTGATAGCTACTCTATCTTTACTCATTCGGTATCAACCAGATTCCTAAACGGTTTGACCAAGGCCTATCCACCAGTAATGAAGCCAATGCCACAACAAGACCTCAGTTTTGTACTTTCAGCACTTACCAGGCCACCTGTAGAACCATTGGCCATGTGCTTAATGTCCTACTTATCAAGGAAGGTCGCCTTCCTGGTTGCCATTCTGCTGGCCAGGAGGGTGAGTGAGCTGGGGACTCTTATGGCTGACCCACCCTATACTACATTTCACAAAGATATAGTATCCTTTCTCCTTCATCTGAAATTCATCCCAAATTAGTTTCCAAATTCTACATAAACTAATCAATTCACTTACCAGTATTCTTCCCAAAGCCTCACGCCTCCAGCAAAGACAGGAGACTTCTTTGTCTTGAGCTCAGATGAGCACTGTGTTCTACGTGCAAAGAATGAAATCTTTTAGGAAATCACCTGGACCGTTCATTGTTTTTGCTTGACCTCATGCTTGTTCTGCTATATCTTCTCAGAGACTATAATGGAATGTCTACACTGCAATTAAAAACCTGTGACTGGCCCATGCTAGCTGACTCGGGCTCATGGGCCTCGAGGTAAGGGGCTGTTTAATTGCGGTGTAGACTTCTAGGCTCAGACTAGAGCCTGGTCTGCAGAACCCTCTGAGATGGGAGGGTCCCAGAGTTCGGGCTGCAGCCTGAGCCCAAATGTCTATTCCACAAACAGCCCTGTGAGCCTTAGTCAGCTGGCATGGGCCAGCATGGATTCACCAAGGGAAGGTCATGCCTGACTAATCTAATCGCCTTTTATGATGAGATTACTGGTTCTGTGGATGAAGGGAAAGCAGTGGATGTATTGTTTCTTGACTTTAGCAAAGCTTTTGACACGGTCTCCCACAGTATTCTTGTCAGCAAGTTAAGGAAGTATGGGCTGGAAGAATGCACTATAAGATGGGTAGAAAGCTGGCTAGATTGTCGGGCTCAACGGGTAGTTATCAATGGTTCCATGTCTAGTTGGCAGCCGGTATCAAGTGGAGTGCCCCAAGGGTCGGTCCTGGGGCCGGTTTTGTTCAATATCTTCATAAATGATCTGGAGGATGGTGTGGATTGCACTCTCAGCAAATTTGCGGATGATACTAAACTGGGAGGAGTGGTAGATACGCTGGAGGGGAGGGATAGGCTACAGAAGGACCTAGACAAATTGGAGGATTGGGCCAAAAGAAATCTGATGAGGTTCAATAAGGATAAGTGCAGGGTCCTGCACTTAGGACGGAAGAACCCAATGCACAGCTACAGACTTGGGACCGAATGGCTAGGCAGCAGTTCTGCGGAAAAGGACCTAGGGGTGACAGTGGATGAGAAGCTGGATATGAGTCAGCAATGTGCCCTTGTTGCCAAGAAGGCCAATGGCATTTTGGGATGTATAAGTAGGGGCATAGCGAGCAGATGGAGGGACGTGATCGTTCCCCTCTATTCGACATTGGTGAGGCCTCATCTGGAGTACTGTGTCCAGTTTTGGGCCCCACACTTCAAGAAGGATTTGGATAAATTGGAGAGAGTCCAGCGAAGGGCAACAAAAATGATTAGGGGTCTGGATCACATGAGTTATGAGGAGAGGCTGAGGGAGCTGGGATTGTTTAGCCTGCAGAAGAGAAGAATGAGGGGGGATTTGATAGCTGCTTTCAACTACCTGAAAGGGGGTTCCAAAGAGGATGGCTCTAGACTGTTCTCAATGGTAGCAGATGACAGAACGAGGAGTAATGGTCTCAAGTTGCAGTGGGGGAGGTTTAGATTGGATATTAGGAAAAACTTTTTCACTAAGAGGGTGGTGAAACACTGGAATGCGTTACCTAGGGAGGTGGTAGAATCTCCTTCCTTAGAGGTTTTTAAGGTCAGGCTTGACAAAGCCCTGGCTGGGATGATTTAACTGGGATTTGGTCCTGCTTCGAGCAGGGGATTGGGCTAGATGACCTTCTGGGGTCCCTTCCAACCCTTATATTCTATGATTCTATGAAGTGCAGTGCAGCCATACCTTGCATGGATTTTTTTAATCAGTTAGCACATCTATTCCACGAGAGCACAGAAAGCCTAAGTAGCTTCTCTCAGAGAAGACCCTCTACTGGACATTTAAAGTGGCAACCTGGAGTTCCAGCAACACTTTCGGAAAGCATTATGTATTGGCCCAAGACTCTTCTGCTGACATAGCCTTTGGAGCTGCAGTGTTGCAAGCATATAGACCACCTGCATCCTCGTATCCCCCTCCTCTTTGAATACTATTTGTCAGCAATCGTGTGGAATACAATAGGGACTAGTGCACAAAAAAGAAATGGAGATTAATTACCTGTAACTGGAAGTTCTTCAAGACGTGTTCCTATCTGTATTCCACTACATACCCTCCTTCCCTGCCGTCCCAGCTTTGAATTACAACTGGATTTGTGGTAGAGAAAGAACTGGAGAGGCATTGGTCTGCACTTCCACTTATATCCCCAGTGCAGAGCACTAGGGGAGCCAGGGCGCAGGCACGGAACAATAGACACTATTTGCAATATTTTTCTGGTCTCAAGCTCATGATGTGCATGCGTACCCACATCTGGAATGTAGTCAGGGACCACACATCTCGAAGAACTTCCAGTTAAAAGTCAGTAATTTCCATTTCTAAAGAGGGCAAAGCAGGTTTTCTCTGAGCCATAGAACATAGTCAAAAAAACGAAAAGGTCATGCTGACTTTAGCTGTAGTGCTGCTTGTAAATATGTCATAAGTACATTTCTTTATTACAGTGTGTTTTGTAAACCAACATCCCATAGAATATTGCTAGATGTGCTCTAAACCAGTACAGAAAGTCTGTACATTCCCAAAGAAAAGGGAGTAAGAAATCCTGGGTGGTAGACATTACTGTGTGCAAATTAGTCCAATCAAGTAATTCAGTCCCAGGCTGCCTTTAATTGGTGTGGGAAGTTGATTTTTCCGTGACAACTTCAGCATAGGGAGAATATTTATTTAAAATTTTTATTTTAAATGTACTTCGGAAATCTTAGAATTCTGCCATCAGTATTATTTTTACTCAGAACAAATTAGCAGCTTTAACTGGTAAGAGGTTAATGTGTGCATGGTATCATGATTAGCAAGTTCTCGCTACTATTTAGTGAGGTCACCTAAATATTGTGTAGCCTCTAAGGGTATGTTTACACTGTAATTGGACACCCATGGCTGGCCCGTGCCAGCTGGCTCGGACTCAGGGGCTTGGGCTGTTTAATGGCAGTGCAGATGTTCAGGCTTGAGCTGCAGCCTGAGCTCTGGGACGCTCCTACCTCACTGGGTATTACAGCCTGGGCTCTAGTCCGAACCCTAACGTCTACACCAGTTAAACGGCCCTTAGCCCAAGCCCTGAGCCGGCATGGGCCAGCTGCAGATTTTTAATTGCAGTGTAGACATACCCTCAAATTCATCTTGCAGGTTATAATGGTAGTTATTCCATTGAATGAACACAGCTAATCTATAATATCTGAAGAATTGAAATGTGATTATTAATACTACTACTCACCTGTACTCATTAATAAAATTAGGTGAACTGGATGACCACTTGATGCCGGTTGGAAAAGAAACGGTTAAGTATGAGGAGGAGCTTGATTTACATGATGAAGAAGAAACCAATGTTCCAGGAAGACCAGGATCTACAAAACGAAGGCAGTGCTACCCTAAAGCTGTTAGTATCATTCATTGCTGTCCACATCTAAAATTTAATATATTCTATTATAGTCTGGAAATAAGACAAGCTTTCTAAGTTTAAGTCTCTAACTTGTCTGACAAAGGGGTGTTTTTCAAATGAAGGTTTTATTTTAAGGTGTGTCCAGGTTCCTTCCCCACTCTGAACTCTAGGGTACAGATGTGGGGACCTGCATGAAAACCCCCTAAGCTTATTTTTACCAGCTTAGGTTAAAACTTCCCCAAGGTATAAACTATTTTGCCTTTTGTCCTTGGACTTTATTGCTGCCACCACCAAGCGTCTAACAGATATATAACAGGGAAAGAGCCCGCTTGGAAATGTCTTTCTCCTCAAAATCCTCCCCAAATCCTACACCCCCTTTCCTGGGGAAGGCTTGATAAAAATCCTCACCAATTTGCATAGGTGAACACAGACTCAAACTCTTGGATCTTAAGAACAAGGAAAAAGCAATCAGGTTCTTAAAAGAAAAATTTTAATTCTTAGAAAAAAAGTAAAAGAATCACCTCTGTAAAATCAGGATGGTAAATACCTTACAGGGTAATCAGATTCAAAACATAGAGAATCCCTCTAGGCAAAACCTTAAGTTACAAAAAGACACAAAAACCTGAACATACATTCCATTCATCACAACTTATTTTATCAGCCATTTAAACAAAACAGAATCTAACGCATATCTAGCTAGATTACTTACTAAGTTCTAAGACTCCATTCCTGTTCTGTTCCCGGCAAAAGCATCACACAGACAGAGAGAGCCTTTGTTTATCTCTGCCCCCCCCCCCCCCCCAGCTTTGAAAGTATCTTGTCTCCTCATTGGTCATTTGGTCAGGTGCCAGCGAAGATATCCTAGCTTTTTAACCCTTTACAGGTGAAAGGGTTTTTCCTCTGGCCAGGAGGGATTTTAAAGGTGTTTACCCTTCCCTTTATATTTATGGCAAGGTGTGTTTCAAACTTTTTAGCAGGATGGTCTTTACATTACAAAATATATAGTACAGACTTCTAGCTGCATGTTTGTCTCCCTTTTAGAGAAAAGAGGGTAGGTACTAGCTGTCAAGGTGAATCTGTTCAGAGGAATGAAAAATGTTTTGCATGCTAGCTAGCACTCTCTTTTTTTTTTTTTTTTTTTAATTAGCTAGTTGCATTTTATCTCATGTATAATTACTATTATATTATAGCTTTCAAAGCTGGTTGAAAGAAACAAAAAGAAATTGTGACATTTTGGATGAAGTCTTTTCCCTGTTTTTTTTTTTTCTTTTGAAAAAAAATTGTCTAGTTGTAATATCCAGACAGTTTTTCTTCTGTACATCACAAAGATAGCTCTCTGTCCCTGATGGAGTCTTGAAAATCATGGACCAAATTCTCTGTTATACCAGTGCAATTCTGTTGAAGTCAGTGAAGTTTCACTAATGTAATTGAGTGGAAAACTTGTCCCAAAGAAACTAACTAGTGTCAGAAGAAGTTTGTGTAAAAAAAACAAAACAAAACTTCAGCATCCAGTTCAATATGTCAAAGTATAGAAAGTAAAGAATTTCTTTTTCTAAAGTCTGTGAAATGAAGTCATGTGACTCAAAGACTGTTGTTGTGGTGTTAGTAATTTTGACTTTTGGACATTTCCAGAGGCAGAACTCGCTGCTTTTTTATTAATTTCAGATATTTAATTTTGATTTAAAGGTTTACCATTTGAGCATGGAACATCAAATTCTTTCGGTTTGAACCGTAGGTTGGTAAAGATCACTTTTTTCAAATAGAGATTTATTAAGGCACAGTGTTGGTATAAGTCATGTTATTTCATAAACATGTTTATCACTTTACAGGAATATTCTTTTATTAGATTTATTTAACATAATATATAATAGGATAACTAGTGCAGAGTTGAACTTTCACTTTAACAGAACAGGTTTGTTATAAGCTGCATTCTTCATCATGGAAAGTTCCACAGATCCATTATGATGGGTCTTCAACCTGCTTCCATGGATGTAGAAACAGACCTGACAGTCACTGGTAGCAGAAGAAAGCCCCATTCCCTGAAATTCCTTCCAGAGGATTGATAATTAGTAGTACAGGGTATATCCTTTCAACCAGTGAATTTTGTAGCTGCTCAGGAGGGCCATGGCAACCTCAATTAAAAACAGAGCCAAGAGACTGGAAAAGCAACCCAAAGGTTCTACCATATGCACCAGCTCAGATCCAACCTGGTGTCTGTCCCAAAAATAGACTTGGTGCACACACATATCTCACTCTTCTCCATCAAGGACTTGGTGATCCCAGCTGAGGGAGATTCTTCCACCAAAAAGACACCATAGATGGGAGAGTGGACTCCTTAATCAGAAGGAATTGCAAGGTGACTGTGGACATCCACAACCTCTGTGTACTCCACAAGAGAAGTTTTGAGTCATCTTTCTGGAAAAATTCTTTATCAGCAGCCTTCCGTCATATCTAGGGATATTCTCTTGCTCTCATCCAGAGCAGTGAGATACAATATAGTATCATGTAGGCATATATATCCTCAATCGTAGAGAATATTTGTCAGGTAAATCAGCTTCTGGCAATTCCCACACACTCCAGTGGGAAGCTTTTTGGAAATCAATGGATAAGGTAGTCACAGTCATCGGAAAAGTCTAGGGAAAACTTGACCCTAGTCAGATATTATAGAAAGGAATATAGATAACATGAAATTTTAAGTCCCAGAAGTACAACAAAAGAGAGGACCTCTTCAGAAGCAGTAGATTGAACAGTCCAGTGTAAATGGGGAAAACCTATTTCCTACAGCACTAAGAACCTGTTCATCAGTTTGAACCACTGGAAGAGGTATTGTCATATTTCCTTTCCATCAGAGTGCCCTTCCCAATATCTGTTACCTCAGTAAGGTGACCTTTTGCAATATGGAGTGTGCTCAAAAGGCTCAGTAAAATACCTGTCATTCTGAGAAGATGATTTTTCAAACTGGCACAAAGAAAACTGTTTTTTTCATAGAAATCAAGAATTTTTCCCATGTTTTTGTCCCAACTCTGCATCTGGAAAAGAAGCTTTAGCACATTTCAGATTTACAAGAAGTACTCAGGGTTTTTTATGTAAAAGCCAGGGGATATCTAAAACATCTAGTTTTTTGATTAATCGAGATGGAGTATTTTTCACCCCTGCAAAATAGTAGATCTTACTCTTCTATCAAATATCAAATCCTATTTCTTAAGAGCAACGATGAGCACATGAGCAGAGAAGTTATATGGTTCCTACAAGGAGAGCTGGAAGTCAGTCACCTGATCACCATAAATACATACATTCACAGAAATCCACAAATTGGTCATCCAAACTTCAGCCAGTGTCATTTTAGGCAGAAGAATTCTGTGGCCTAATGCCACAGCCAAGGAAAGATGGGGGGTAGATATAGTTTGCCTCATTTTTTGGTGTACAAAAGTAAAGATTGAACTTGCTTCTCATTCTGAAGACATACTACTGAGAAAATCCTAGTGCAGTGGGTCTTTGAATCTTAGCAGATTAAGAATGGGAAGACTTATCCAACCTTTATATAAAAACTGCCTTTATTTGAGAAATAAGGACCATAGAGTCTGGACACAAGGGCTTATCCAGAGATGGATAGAGATGTAAAATGGTATTCAAAGCTTTCATTTTATTCGTAGGGAAGATTATTCTGGTGCTCTGCAGTAGAAGAGACTTTTGTTTTTCAATGTAGAATTAACACAATTGTTAATTTAGGAAAGTAATAGTTGTCTCAGCTAGCAGGAAGTTCTGGGCATGAGGCATTCTGCTGCTGACTAATGACTGAGGTCTGGTTTTGCCCCCAACCTGCAAGTAGGCTGAAGACCAGTATTAATGGGTCTTGCTGTTCAAAAAAAAAAAAAGGGGGGGGGGGAGATTCAGGTTAGTTTGGGTGAATTTTCCTGTTCTACCTTTTAGAAACATATTTCCAAAGGTTTTAAAAAGTATAATAATTTTGTTTCATACCAGTCTCAACAGATCTTATGAAATATTTGTTCTAGGAATGAAAATTTAAGTGAAGTTTGTTGAAATAGTCATATTAATGTATTTTCCTCTCTTTGATTGTAGATTCCAGAATGTTTGAGAGATAGTTACCCCAAACCTGATCATCCCTGTTATCTGTATGTAATAGGAATGGTGTTAACTACCCCTTTGCCTGACGAGCTCAACTTTAGGAGGCGAAAGCTGTATCCTCCTGAGGATACAACAAGATGCTTTGGAATACTGACAGCCAAACCTATACCTCAGGTAATGAATCTGACTTTCTCTTACCCCTTCTGTGCCTGACAGTTCTTCTACCGTTCATGACTCAAAGCACTGAGGCAGGCCAGAGACCAGACCACATGTCAACTCTGCCTTCCTGGAGAAATCTTGAAAACTGGATCTCCAATTATCATAGAGTATTGTGTACAGTTATTTCCACAGTTTAACTTCTTCCTATCAAACTTTCCTCATTGTCATTTTATATTCTCTGATTAAGAATACCAAATTCTTCTTCTGAGGTAGGACATTTCTGACTAGCCTCGTCTGAGCTGAAAATGGGAGACAAGGCTAAGCACATGCTGAGGAAATACACCTCTTTCTGTGCTTTTTCCCAACCATCCATTGAGAGGGGATCTGTGCTTATATTGTGCTAAGAACAAATCATGTTCTGTTACCTGCTCAGAGGGTTTGTCCTCGCAATTCCAACCATGGCCCTGCACTCAGCAATATCACCAGCACTCCGCAGCTCCTTCAGCATCTCTGTAGCAGCAGGACTCTGTAACATCACAGTGCAGGGGTTATGGACACTTTTAGAGCTCTGCCACTCCCTCACTATAATGTCCACCTAGTATTCCTGGGGTACCTGTCCCACATTCATCAACTCCCTCGCTCCCAGAAGTCTTCATCTGACTATTGGTAAAGGTAATAACGTCTCCCTCCCCACAAATCATCCCATGGATGTTATGTTTTATAGGGTCGCAAGCCCCATTACACACCCACTTTCTCAGCAAACTCCTCCCCCGCTGCTGTTCAGACCCTTTGGGCCACTCATTTATAATTCTGTGCCTTTCTGGGCACAGAATCTTATCAGTCCGACTCTAGGAAACCGTAACTCCAGTTTCACTAGTGTCTGCTCTTTGTGCATCAGCTCGTGCACAGCATCACCACTGAGCCCGTTTCTGGCAATGGCTCTCCATGCCTGCCTCTTATAAAACTTGCTGACAAGTTGAGAAACAAGAGTAAAATCTTTCATGCTAGTTCTCATTAGCACAAGAAAAGAGATGATTGCATTGTTTCTGATTCAGATTCCAATCAATTCTGAAAGAAATAGTTAAGGATCAAATCCAGAAGAAAATGTCCTTCACCTAGTCTCTCTTCACAGGAGAGAATGAAATCCTCAGTGAAGACATGAGGATAGCACTACCCTTCTTATTGATAAGAAAATGCAGGGAAATTAAGAAACTCTAGAGAGAAGCCAAAATTTTAAAAGGGAACTTTATCAGGTAGCCCCTGCTCTCTAAAAAAGGGTCATTTTCTAGGTTAGAGAGAACGTAAACTTTTCTGAACAGTGAAACTGTCCCTGTATCAAAATGATGGCTTCCACTTGTGTTTCTGTATGTGTAAATTAATGTTCATTAATACCTAAATCCTGACTAAACATTAATCACTGTTTTATTGGGACAATTCTATTCTGGAAGAAGTATATATGGTATTTTCTAAGACATGTTTCAGTATCTAATTTTTGTTCTCTTTTGGTTTCTCTTTATGTACTTAGATTCCTCACTTTCCTGTGTACACACGTTCTGGAGAGGTTACTATATCTATTGAGCTAAAGAAGTCTGGTTTTATGTTGTCTTTACAAATGCTTGAGCTGATCACAAGACTTCACCAGTACATTTTCTCACACATTCTTCGGCTTGAGAAACCTGCACTAGAGTTCAGACCTACAGAAGCTGATTCAGCCTATTGTGTTCTACCTCTTAATGTTGGTAAGGATTGAGTTTCTTTTAATATTCCCTTTAGTTTGCTTTATAACAACAAACTAGTTACTTTAGTATTTTGTCATCCTTCAGAGTTATCATATTTCATATATAATTTAATATAGTAACAACAGCAGAAATATAATAGTATGCGGGTTTGATTCTGTTACCGTTCCTCACCTTTTTCAATTCTAAGTGTGCTTGAAATGAGTACAAATCATCTCTTAGCAGTATGTTTTCATGTGAACGAGGAAGGATCTAAAAGTATCTAGGTGTGCTGTTATAAGTGGAAGGTTTACCTCAAGATTTTAGGGAAGAGGGGAGGCAAAGAGTGTGTTGACAGCAAATAGTCTACCCGAAAAGTAAGACTTTACAAGTTAAAAATAATACTGCTTCCAGTTTGGGAAACCCAACAAAATAAATTAAATATGTCTTTTCTTTTTAAGTTGATGACTCCAGCACTTTGGACATTGACTTTAAGTTTATGGAAGATATTGAAAAATCTGAAGCACGTACAGGCATTCCCAGTACAAAGTACACAAAAGAAACTCCATTTATTTTCAAATTAGAAGATTACCAGGATGCAGTTATCATTCCAAGGTGAGGATTGTATCATCTGTGACATTCGGAGTGTAGAAAATGTATCGGTATAAGTATTTGCCATATAAGTTATGTAACTAATGTATTGGATCAAAGCATATTTAGCATACACCATAAACCTGATGACATTTGATGATAAATTACATTATTTAATAATATAGAGTCGATGACAAGTTTGTGGTATGATTCATATAGAAATATAATACTGGGATTTTAATGTATTGTCACTAAAAAATCTGTTACATCCCCATAAGGAACAGTGCAAGTCACCACACAGCTTTCATAGTATTCTGCCAAAAGCTGCGACTCTATCAGCAGCTAGTTTACTGGAACTGTTTTAAATTGGGGAGACTGGTGGTGATCCTGTCTCTAGTTACATCTCCTTGATACTGAAGTCTTGCGAGAGCAGTCCCAAAGACCGAAAAGAATGACCCCCTCAGTGCAGCTCCATCAGCAGTAGCAATGATAGGAGTGATAGCGGAGACAAGCTGTGGCCACCAGTGTTTTAACCACCGTGTCATCTAAGCATGGCTTAATGACATGGGGGTAGATCCTAAACTGGCATAAATGTCATAGTTGTATTGACTTCAGTGAAACTAAGACATTTGATCCCAGCTAGGGATTTGCCCAATAAAACACAGTGGATGGTCTTCACTAACACCCCCTCTGTTGCTACCCCCAGTGGAACTGCATTGGTGGTAGTAACAATTGGAGACTTAGAAGTTCAGGAGGGGGAGACTTGAATTACACTCCTAGCGAGAATTATTTGTTGCCAACTAATAATAGCTAGGCAAGGTGGGGTGGACAACGTGGACTACTGACATAATTGAATATTCTGTCTCATTTGTTTGTATCTTAAAAGAGAAAACCTCTTAAAACCTGAAAATAGTGCATGTATTCAGTCTACATAAAACTGTGATAGAAATATGTTTATCACCCTTGTTATACCCCTGTTTGTTTGACTGCAAGGGATTGTCTCTTAACTATGTGTTTGTACAATGCCCAGAATCATTAGAGTACACATAATAAGTATGCAAGGGCTGATAAGATAAATGAGTTTTCTGAAGGCTGCTTTAACTTAAGCATCCACTTTTTTCCAGAATTTTGAAAAAAATAAAAAATCAGATGGTCCTGGAAAGTAACAGCCTTGTTTGCCGCTTTAGAATGAGGTTGAAAAGATTAAATAAATTATTAGAGATTTTACCTCATTTAGAGACGTCTACTCAGATGCGTAAATATTTAGATAGGAATTGAAAATGACAGACACATCAGAAACTAAGACCAAAGTGCCAAAAAAAAAATATGCAAATCTCCTCATAGTTAAGAATATATCTTGCTAGCTATCACAATTTGTGCAAAATGGTGTGTGAACATCACATTTACACTAGCTTTAAAGGGCAGGACTAAACGTCTTGAGTATTCCAGTGCTAGAAAATGAATATTTGAAACTTTTTCTACTTTTTAAGAAGGAAGAGGCCATAAATGGGTTGAGAACCAGACTCAAATGCCAAATGTACTATTGGTATAAGTTTGTATCATTCCAGCTTCTGTGGAACATTCACCTACTCTATGGGACAAACATCCTCCCATCTTTCTTCAAGGGATTTTTTAATTTTGCATTTGCCTTGTGGTGTTTTTGGTTTGTCTTGGGGATTTTTTTATTTATTTGAAATAACATATTCTTGTTGAAATAACAACAACAAAAATCTGTTTGTTTAAGCATTCTAAAATTGTGTGATAGGACCAATGTCTTTTTATAGAAAAGTTTAAACATATTTAAGAGCTTCTGAAAAATTTAAAACTGTTGGGACTAAATTTCTATATTGGTTAACAGAAATATTTATCATTTGTAAAATAAGTGCTCAGATTGAAGCAGATAGTCTAAAGTATATATTTATTGCATTATACATAACCCTTTTAAAATTTATACTTAATTTTATTAAAATTAGGTGTTCTGGGTTCCTATTTCTTCACAGAAAGTAATTGTAAAGGGTAATTGATTTTTTTCTACTCTGTTGTATATTAGTTCTTATACTGCACTCATCACCATAATCTTTGATTTGTCACATCTATTCAGTTTCTGCACAAAGAACTAAATAGTTGAGTTATTTAACTTAGCATCTGATCCCAATGCAGAATCAGAGCCTTAGGTAGAAAATTTGCTCAAAGAATGCTTTTCATTCCAAACTATCTGATTTTATTTAGGTATCGAAATTTTGATCAGCCTCATCGATTCTATGTAGCTGATGTATACACTGATCTTACTCCACTGAGTAAATTTCCTTCCCCTGAATATGAAACTTTTGCTGAATATTATAAAACAAAGTATAATCTTGACCTGACCAATCTCAACCAGCCACTGCTGGATGTGGACCACACATCTTCAAGGTGAGGAGATTCTGAATAGTATAAACTTAGTTTAATTCTTCTTTGGGTTTTATATTTTATGGTCTTGCAACATGTATAATGAAACATTTTGTAAACTGTGTGTAATAAAGTTGGCAATCTTATTTTCAAAATTTTGGGTGTAATTTTTTGGGCAGTCAACTTGAGCCATCATTAAAGGGCCTGATTTTCAGAGGGCAAATGCTTTCTGAAAATCAGGTTTGTTTAAAAGTGTTGATGGTCAAAATCATTTGAAAACTTAGTTCAGCATGGTTTAATTAGATTTTTTTGTATATTTACATTAAAGGAAATATTTTCACAATATATTTTTAGACTTAATCTTTTGACTCCTCGCCATTTGAATCAGAAGGGGAAAGCTCTTCCACTAAGCAGTGCTGAGAAGAGGAAAGCTAAGTGGGAAAGTCTGCAAAATAAGCAGGTAATGAACTGCTTTCCATTCTAAATTGTTTAATTCAGCTTAAATCATTAACCACACTTAAGAGTTTTTGAGATTCTTTTTAAAAGTAAAACTCTTTCCCTTCTTAAAAGATATTGGTTCCGGAACTCTGTGCTATACATCCTATTCCAGCATCGCTGTGGAGAAAAGCAGTTTGTCTCCCTAGCATACTTTATCGTCTGCACTGCCTGTTGACAGCTGAGGAACTGAGAGCCCAAACAGCCACTGATGCTGGTGTAGGGGTTAAATCACTTCCTGCAGACTTCAGGTATTTACTATGCCACACATATATGTATTCTAAATCTTCTTGAACAACTAAGTGAACATTTGCAAATGCTGGAACAGTGCAAAATTGATCTGCTCTATATGGTTCATATAATTTTTTCAGTTGGGCATATAGCTAGAAAATACTTGATTGTAAATAGTGGAGTTGGATACTACAATGATCTTTGTTTTAAAAAATGCCCTACTTTCTTAATATGTAAAAATGAACATACGTATGGAGTTCTCTTATGCCTTCACTTTGAGATATTTTTAAATTAAAAAATCAACATTTATTTTGCAGATATCCTAACCTGGACTTCGGGTGGAAAAAGTCCATTGACAGCAAATCCTTCATCTCTATTCCTAGCTCCACTTTAGCAGAGAATGAAAATTACTGTAAGCACAGCACAATTGTAGTCCCTGAAAATGCTGCACATCAAGGTGCTACAAGAGCCTCCTCTGCAGAAAATCATGACCAAATGTCTGTGAACTACATAACATTGCTCAATGAGTCACCCAGTAAACTCCAAATTGATGTATCGGTAGAACTTGCAGCAATTAATGGTGTTTCTTATAATAAAAATCTTGCCAATGGCAATTGTGATTTAGTTAACAGAGACTTTTGCCAAGGAAATCAACTGAATTACTGCAGGCAGGAAATACCTGTACAACCAACTACCTCATATCCCATTCAGAATTTATACAACAGTGAGAACCAGCCCAAGCCCAGCAATGAATGTACTCTACTGAGTAATAAATACCGTGATGGAAATGTTAACAGATCTACCTCAGATGGAAGCCCCAAAATGGCAGTGACCACCAGTACTTCAGAAGCTCTTAATTTTTCAACAGACAGAATGGATTCTGAAAAGAACTGTTCTAGTGGATACTCCTCAAAAACTCTTGGCCCAAACCCTGGTCTCATTCTTCAGGCTTTGACGCTTTCAAATGCTAGTGATGGATTTAATCTAGAGCGGCTCGAAATGCTTGGTGATTCATTTTTAAAGCATGCCATCACTACATATTTGTTTTGCACTTACCCAGATGCTCATGAGGGACGCCTGTCATATATGAGAAGTAAAAAAGTGAGTAGCTAATGATCTATCACTATTCTGTTAAATAATGGCTACAATATATGATTTATAGATAAAATATTTGAACACTGAATAAGTAATATGTTAATACATATTTATATTTACCAGATATTTTCATGTCTAAAATAAAATTACAACCTGTGTTATAAATTTGCTAGTATGCATGTTAGGAATACAATTATACAATACAATCCTCTCTCCTTTAAAATGACTAAAATAATTCATTTGAGATACCATCAAAATAAATTAATTATATCATAATTAAAGCTACATTTATGGACAAACTTCTCCTCAGAACTGTTAATTTTTTTTTATGCCAAGGTTTAATTTAAACAAGGGGCTTGTGATACATCTTGTTAAGGTGGCAATCAAGAATGCTACTATATAATGGGATATTTATTGTGTAAATTTTTACTATTATTCAGAAAGTTATACTTTTATTTATAAATAAGGCTTTAACTTTTCAAGAAACTATAGACATAAATGTTAAAAAGTTACTTCTGTTTGTAGGCCAGGATTTGGCCAGTCACAGTTACTGTGTTAGGAAGTTTGCATAATAACCTCTGAGAACTGGAAAATATATCTGTATATAAATTATCATATGCATGTTTTATTTTAAATAAGAAATGCATGACTGTTTTACAAACATGCTATCATTTTATTTTATTGTTTAGGCACATAAGATTGTTTATATTTGTATTCTCATATACTTTTGTATGAATGTATACGTAGATGTTTATAGTGTTTTTTTCTTAAAGGTCAGCAATTGTAACTTGTATCGTCTTGGGAAGAAGAAAGGGCTGCCTAGTCGTATGGTGGTATCTATTTTTGATCCACCCGTCAATTGGCTCCCTCCTGGTTACATAGTAAACCAAGACAAGAGTAACGCAGACAAATGGGAGAAAGATGAAATGGTAAGCTGTCATTGAAATATGTTAAGACTTAAATAACTTTTTGTATATATTATTATATCACAAGGTGGAGGGACAAGAAAACGAGCTTTCATTTTATCATGGTTCAGCAAAATATAGCTTCCTACATCTTCATTTCCTACTTTTCTTTAAAATATCTCTAATTTATGAAAAATGTGGGAGAAAGAGATGCTGATGGAGAACTTAGGAAGGGCAATTTGTGGAACAGATTGCTGACCATAGTTCAGAAATGAGTGTATATCTTAATGGTATAAGAGCTTAAATATTTTAAAATAAAGCTTCCATCCATTATTCTCAGCACTCTTTTGTGGAAGCTCACCTAATTTGAAGTGTTTCTCCCTTCGTGCGAACTGTGAAATATATGTATAAATGATGTTTTTGACTAACATTTCTGTTCTGCACACTATTGGTGGCTAAACATCATTTTGCTGAAAAATGAGCCCATCTTTGGCAACATGGGCAGCACAACATCAGATTCTGTGAGCTAGCTTTTGTCCTGCTTTACCAGGTGCCCCCTAACTGCTACCTAGTACAACTAGTATTTCTTAGTTGTGTGATTGAGTGGAGGTGATGGCTGGTTTGAGAAGTTTCTCAATAGTAACTGACCATTGCCAGATGGCATTTTATCTTTAATGGTTGAAGATTGAGACCAGAGTAGAAAAGGAATAATCAAACAGAACCATTTTTCTTTTCTGAAATTTAAACTCTAAATAGGTGAGGGCTGAAGAATCTGTTTTGCTCCTATCCAGAGTGAACACAAAAAGATCTTGACTACTTTTAGATGTTTTGTTTGTCTCTCATACAGTGCAGTTCTAAACTCATGTTGTGCAGTTCATCTGCTGATCCTAAACCAGGATTACAGCTGACTGTAAACTGATCTTTGGTCCCTAATGTTAGGGCCCAATACTGCCAAGGTGATGGATTTCACTTTTCCGTGAGATTGTGCCCACCAGCAGGCTCAGAATGGCAAATCTCAATTTTAAAACTTCGCAGATTTCATCTTGTAATTGAATTGTAATACTTGTATGTTTCACCCTATGAACTCAAAAAGTTAGGGTAAAAATGGGTACTCTTGCTTTAAAAAAAAAAAAAGAGAGAGAAAAAATCACTAATTATATGGCATTAATGACTTAATCTGTAAATACTCAGAATGTTATGTTTTGACTCAATACAATACTCTGACCATAGAACCACCAGAGGGCACACAAGAGGACTGTTAAACAGATGTACTGTATGACTAAATCTTTATTGAAAAATCAAACCTGATTATTGTAGTTCTGTATTCTGCCAAAGTTTCATTTCAAAAGGATTTATCATTATACCATTCTAAAAATAAAACGGCATATTTGAGGCTGCAACTGATAAATTACTAAGGGGGCAAAAAATGATTCTTCGTACCCGTTTTACTGCTTATGCCTTTGCCAGTCACAAATTTTATATATATATTTCAGTCCAGTACTCATATTGGACAGTGATCTCACAAGATATGTTTACTGCTGCCAAGTGGTAAAATAGTCATTTCACTGTCAGGGAATAAATTCCATTCTTTTGGGGGAGAGGGTTAACTAGAGCTCTGATAACAACACTTTGAATTACTGTTGTAAAACATTGTAGACAAATGCTGGGATTCTTGGCCTGGCCGAACCATATAAGAAAAATGCAAGTAGTTTAGTTGTCTGATTAAATAACTAAATCTGAAAAAGCATAAAAGGAACATTTAAGCATATTTGATCTTTGGTTTGAAATACAAATCGCGACTGGAAAAAATTATGTTTATAATTTATTTAAAATAAATTGAAGTTTTTTGAGATGTGTGGGTTTTGAAGTCTGGGGCAGTAGTTTCTGAAAAAGTGCTATCTAGCACAAAACAAAATGATCAGAATTACCTTTTGGCTTCCAAATGACTATATAGTTTAGTGTTAATTATTTTTTTTAAATCACCCAATAAATAATGAAATATTAGGACTAGTTTGTTCTTTCTCACAGAGTTCACTTATCTGTATCAAAACTCTTTTTTTGCTCAGAGTTCAGGGGTTTTTTTTTTTTCCTTTTGAGAAAATTTAAAATTGATCTCATTCATAATCACTTAAGTCTATTTTGAAACTGCTGTTTGGGCATCTCTCATTCTTAACTGGAGTAGTCAAAATTCTGCTTTCAGGCCAGATATGGAGTATGGAGTTTTTACAGTTCATTTTCCTTTCTAATATGGAAATGTGGCCTCCTAATACTTCATTTTCCAAAATACTACATACTCCCTTCTGATCAGATCATTTGGAGCACTGCATGCTAGGGCCATAGTATCTGCAAGCCATACATCCATACTTAAAAATGAGGGCAAATATAAACGATTCCATTTTATTCAAAGTGGAATGGTCCTTACGCTTGTAGGCCCCAATCCAGGAAAGTGCTTTGGGTCTGATCCTGACAATGGCAAAACTTCTGTTGACTTCAGTGGTGCAGGATCAAGCACGCAAGCAACTGCACTGAGCTTAAGTGCTTTCTTGGGTCAGGGCCTTAACAAGCTTCCAGTGTAATCCTTAGTTAGGTAACATTTTGACATACCTGTTTTTGATGATTTACTCCAAGCCATACAAATTCAATACCTGTTATTTTTCATTAATCATATGTATCACTAATTTTTCCTCCTTTCAATGACAAATGCACAGATTAGAAAGAAAATCGAGCAACAATATACAACAACAACTATATCCACTTCTAATTAAACTAAAATGTAACCCAGGAGATTTTGCTTAACTGAATACCTCTTAAGAGAATTAAGTCTCTTAATGTATCCCCTTTGGAGTAGTTTTTGAGTTACGGTATTGTTTCACTCAATGTGCACATAAATATTTTGTCCAAAAATGCAATATTTAAGAAACATGCTGTCTAAGTTTGTATTTTCCCCATTCTTAGGCCTGATCTTATGAAATATTTGCAACATTACAAAAATGCATGACAAATTGGAAAAATCTTTTTGGCAAAACAGAGTGTGGAAGGTTGTGTGTTAGAACTTACATTGTCTTAATTTTTTTCTGACTTTTTTCAAATACAGCTCATATTGCAGAATCAGAAATTGGCCTGTGCTGCTTTTTTTTTTTTTTTTTTTTTTTTTTTTTAAGTTAGATCTCTTACTAAGTTACTGAATCCCCAATGCAATCTATCCAGGCCATCACCCACATAAATGTCAAACTTTTGCCAAACTGGCATTAGAGCTCCTGTTTTTTTGTCTTTTCTGCCAACATATTAAAACCCTTTTTCATGTATGTTGATGTGAATATCTCAAAAGCATAAATACAGGGCATCATACCTATGATTTACCTCAAATAAGGTTTGCAAAAACCCTATGATAAAATTTATGTTGTGTAGAAATGCTATTTATTATTACCTTCCTTGATTGCGTATAGTAGCATTACTTAGCAGCAAGAGAGAGAGAAACAAATTTTGGTGCATCTAATGTCACTATTTTAAAATTGGTTCCCCCCACGCCCTCTCCCCACACACACACACACACTCACTCACTCACTCCTGTTTCTATGAGCATAAGTGGGTTATGGATGGTTTTTATTTTTTTTAAGCCACTTGTGTACTAGACGCAAGTAAAAACAAAAAAAAATCCTCTGCTTTTTTTGTATTCCCATGAAACTTAGATGTTCATTGTAAGAAATTATATTTAATATATATTGTAACAATAAAGGTTGCTTATAGAAAATTTCATTGTACACCAAGGCAATTATTTTGGTCTTAGAATGAGAATATTAAGTGGTATTGCTCTTTGCATCTGATTAAACAAGTTAATTGATATCAATTAACAAAAAACAAATGGTCATACCGTTAAAGCTAGCTGACAGTGGTTATAATTGAAAACGATTATTTCTTGCTGGCAGAGTTATGAAACTTGTGTAAGAAGTAATTATACCTTTTTTTCCCCGTACCTCATTTTATTTCTTCTTTCAGACAAAAGAAAGCTTGTTAGCTAATGGTAAACTTGATGACGATTATGATGATGAGGAGGATGAAGACCTAATGTGGAGGTTACCCAAGGAAGAAGCTGACCTTGAAGATGATTTTTTGGAATATGATCAGGAACATATCAAATTCATTGATAATATGTTAATGGGATCTGGGGCTTTTGTGAAGAAAATTTCTCTCTCACCCTTTTCAACCACTGATTCCAGCTATGAATGGAAAGCACCCAAAAAATCATCCCTGGGTAACATTCAATTTTCTTCAGATTTTGATGATTTTGACTACAGTTCTTGGGATGCTATGTGCTATCTGGATCCTAGCAAGGCTGTCGAAGAAGATGATTTTGTAGTAGGCTTCTGGAATCCGTCAGAAGAAAACTGTGGTGTTGACACAGGGAAACAGTCAATCTCGTATGACTTGCATACGGAGCAGTGTATTGCCGACAAAAGCATTGCAGATTGTGTGGAAGCCTTGCTGGGTTGCTATCTGACCAGCTGTGGTGAAAGAGCTGCTCAGCTTTTCCTGTGTTCATTAGGGCTGAAGGTGCTCCCAGTAATGAAAAAAACTGAGTGGAACAGCACTTCGTGTTCTAGCAGGGAGAATTTTAACAGTCAACAGAAAAATCTTTCACCAAACTGTGCTTCTGCCTCTGTAGCCAATTCAGAGTGTTCTCTGTGTAAAGAAATGGAGTATGGCTGTTTGAAGATTCCACCAAGGTGTATGTTTGATCACCCAGATGCTGAAAAAACCCTGAATCACCTGATATCTGGTTTTGAAAATTTTGAGAAGAAAATTAACTACAGTTTTAAGAATAAGGCTTATCTTCTTCAGGCATTTACTCATGCCTCCTACCATTACAATACCATTACTGGTAAGTTGCCTGAAAGAAATTACTTCATTTCAGTATTCGATTGATATAAATAAAGGATGTACAGTGCAGGTTATTTTTTGTGCACAGATCTTGACTTTTTTTATATGTCAAAATACAAAATGATAATAATCTCTTAATACAAAAATGAATACCAAGAAGGATCTTCTTTCTGCTGTTTTTAAGGGGTCTTCCAGTTAACTGTGTGTGACCTCTCCCTCCCTAAAATACTACCAGGGCACGTGGGTGACTCTCAATTCCCTAGACCAAGTGCGTGGTATAGGGCACCATAACACAGGTTTTTTTTCTAGACTAGGGATCGGCAACTTTTGGCATGCAGCCCATCAGGGAAAGCCCTGGCAGGCCAGGCTGGTTTGTTTACCTGCTACATCCGCAGGTTTGGCCGATTGCAGCTCCCACTGGCCGCGGTTCGCCGCTCCAGGCCAATGGGGGCTGCAGGAAGGGCGGCCACGGGCCAAAGGTTGCCAATCCCTGTTCTAGACGGCAGTTTTTTCATATTTTACTTCTGTCCCTTCTCTCATCAGCTGTTATGTGCTCAGTACTAATCCTACACTCATCAGGGTGACTTAGCAAAGAACCTCCAAAACTGCAGTGCCTGTCTAGAATTAGCCACCATGGTTTTCAAAAATAAATGTTTTTTCAAAAAACGGTGTTGCAAAAAAAATCGGTAGCTATTTCACTGATTTTCATCCCAAGAGCATCACCTTGACTTCACTGGAGCCAAGATTTCCTCTGTAGGCTGAATTAATCTGTTGTTCATTGGAGTGGCCAAGTTTGGAAATGCTCAGGAGTACCTTTAGAGCCCAGTCCTGTGGGGTGCATGTATTGAGTGTCCTCAGCTCACGCTGAGGTCAGTGGGGGCTGAGGGGTGTTGTACCTAATGGGATCTAGATCTTAGAAAAGGATCACTTTCAATCTAGTGATGTCTTGAACAAACATCATGGGGCCTCGGAAAGTGGGAGTGATGATTTTCCAGGAGAAACTCCTCTCAAAAAACCCTGAGCTTTTAACACAAATCCTATTGAAATGTTAATATGCTACAATAGAGATCTAACGAGAATATACATAGTATTAAAAATTAACATAGTATTGTAAAGTGCTTTATCTGGAGAAAGAGCTGTTCGTCTACAAACATTGAGCTTCGCAATACTCATATGAGGTAAGTGGTAGGTAGTTATTCCTATTACACAAATGAGAAAATTGAAGCATAATATCTTGACCAAAGTTACACAGTCAGTAGTAGAAACTTGAATGGAATCTAGGAATTTATATTCCCAGTCTCCTACTTTAGTTGACAGGGAAGAATATTTTGGGGAAACTATTAATGTTAGTGTTAAATGTTTTCATGAAAAGTAAAAGTTAAAATGTGTCGGGATCCATATGATATCTACTGAAAACTGCTTCATTCTAGGTTTCAGAGTAGCAGCCGTGTCAGTCTGTATCCGTAAAAAGAAAAGGAGCACTCCTTTTCTTTTTGCTTCATTCTAGTCATTTTTAAGCTTTCTGTTTGTTTGTTTTTTCTTAACCCATCTCTCATGCCTTTCTAGATTTGTGCTGGGTTTTATGTATACATTAACAACAAAAACCCTAATTCAAAATTAAAAACAGCACATCTGCAAGTGAAACACCATTGAACATTTAAACTGAAAAAAGTCTAAAGGAATAAAAAGTTAGCTCAGAAATATTAAATACGAAAGTGCCCCACTTTTTTTTTTTAGTGTATTGATTTCTTTATTGAATTTTTGAAAGTTTGATTATCATTGTCTATTCAGATGAACACAGTTGTACTATTACTTGGTGTTATTTTTAATCAGTCTGATTTAAGGCATTTAAGCCTTCATTATAAGCCCATATTTTTGCCACCATGCTGTAAGTGAGTATTTGGTTCAGAAGAAGCTTCATTATTACATATAATTTGTGAAGCTTTTTCTTATTTTTGGAATACATTAAAACAGGCAGAACAGCCTTTTAAGATAACACTGAAAACAAAATCCAGTAAAAAGAGATCGATGTTTAAACATGGGTAGATGTTTATCTTTTTTTGAGCATTGTTTAACTTGTGGTATTTACATAGTAATAAGCCAAATCTTCTATCCAGAAAGGCCAGACAAGAATGTGTTAGTTAACTAAACTTAATTGTATTGCTGTACATTTTTTTTATTTCCAATGCTTTAAGATTGTTACCAGCGCTTGGAATTCCTGGGAGATGCAATTTTGGACTACCTCATAACCAAGCACCTTTATGAAGACCCACGGCAGCACTCTCCAGGAGTTCTAACTGACCTACGATCCGCTCTAGTCAATAATACCATCTTTGCATCATTAGCTGTAAAGTATGACTACCACAAGTACTTCAAAGCTGTCTCTCCTGAGCTGTTCCATGTTATTGATGACTTTGTACAGTTTCAGATGGAAAAGAATGAAATGCAAGGAATGGATTCTGAGGTTAGTAGTATTTGAAAGTATTTGCATTCAATGTCTGATTTTAGCATGCCATCAGAATTCTTAGCACAATACAGATTTATATAATGTGTTAGTTTTGATTGTATAGCAGCCAAAGAAGCATATGGATGCCAATAATGTAGTAACTTACTTAGCATAACTGCATGCATTCATTAAGCAGTTTTTACTAAATGAAAGTGCTCAGAAAATAACTTCTTAATTGGATTGATACCAGATTTTACCCCAGGATCTCCTATGATATCCAATGTAGGTGATATCACACCTTCATGCTTACACCATAATTTTTCCCCACACCACTTCAACAGTGTTCTTCATCACTGACTGAGAGGCCCTGGCCAGGGAAACACTGTTAGTATCTTTCAAGTGAACTGTTTTAAGAGCAATTTGGTTGAAAATTTGTAAACACAGGCTTTGGACTAGCCAAGAAAACTAAGTACATTACATGTTGATGGACACTTATTTGCTGGGAAAGGAACTAAAACCAAATCATTTCAGATAAGCTACTAAACAACCATATCATGGTAATGGCTTTCTGTCTCTGGTGATCTGGGTCAGATTCAAACCAATTACCTAGAACAGAAAGATGAGACTCTTTCTATTATCAAGCCCCCGAGCCATCCAGTCTTCCTTAACATTTTGGTTTGATCTTTGTCTGATAAGTGTCCTCTATAGTAAGTCTTAAAAAGTGTGATTTAATTGCTTTTAGAGCAAGAACCTACCTTCAAAGAATAGTGTTGATTAAATCTGTGACTAAATACTTGCCATCTATGTCTTCAGTAGTTTGCTCACTCCATTACTCAGTTTAAAGGAGACAAAGGACTTGAATCTATGTAGGTATATATACATTTTTATCACCCTTGCATTTACTACAAACCAAAATCTTTAAATTTTTCATTGCAAGATGGGAAAACAACTGAAGGGACAAGTGTCAAATGATTTAATCACAAAGGATCAGACTCTGCCACTGCTATATTGTATAGTATTCTTTACAGTGGGTTTACCCAGTGTGAGTAAGTGGTGTAAAATCTAGCCTTAAAGTTTTACAACAGTGGTTTTTGCCTTTGTGAAAGTGACCCAATCATTTAATATGGTTGAGGTGGTACCTCAGAAACACCAGCAGGTTATAAAATACCTCAAGTTCTTTAGTTCTTGTTTCTATCTACTACTCTACCTGATCCCTGTGCTAGTCTGGCACTGGGTTATTGTGTCTCTTCCTTTAATTTCATCACAGTTAATGCAAGAACCTTTGCTTCAGCAGATCCTGCCAGCTGGACTAGTTTCTACGCATCTCTCCATGTCACCAGCTCTTATTTTTTCAAATCTCACTCCTAAAATATCTTTTGTCCCTTGCTTTGTACCTTACTTTTATTATTTATAAGGGGAATAGGACTTCCTAAAGTGTTTTGCGGTACATTTGGTGTGAAATACACTGTGCAAATACAGTTGCATATTTGTTTAACAATAAGTTTGCTGTTTGGAGAGTTTGCACATTCAGTCTAGTTCCCTGTTAGACCTATTTTAGGAATAAATGTTGGGTGGGACTAATATATGGAGTAATACTGTACCTTTTAAGAGTGTGGACCGAGTATTGGCCTTAGAATTTTAAATTCCTGAACCACAACCAAATGAGTAAGAGGCGGCCAGAAGGGGAAGAGAAAAGATAGGAAAATGTTCATTTCCATTTATTTGGGGATGTGATGGTCAAAAACAGGTTTTTTTTTTTTCAATTCAGCTTCCTGTGTTATTTGCACTAAGGCAAAATATGGACAAAACTGCAGATGATTGAAAAAAATATTATTATAAAGGACTATATTAAAATCAAGATGTACACATAACACAATATGCACACCTTTTTACAGTGCAAAAATAACAGCACTGCATAAAAGCAATAGTAAACCATAGAAGAAACACTGCATATATGTTAAAAGCAGCCTCTCTGGCATCAAGTAGCTAATAGTACAAATAGTGTAAACTCAGTCTGACACTACTGAGTTGTTGTTAATGGCTCATTTCAGTTACACTTATGCTTCACCTGCCTTCCGTAACTAAGAATCTATGGCAAGAGTGTATGTGAGTTACATATCATTTAAACAAAAGGAGTACTTGTGGCACCTTAGAGACTAACCAATTTATTTGAGCATAAGCTTTCGTGAGCTACAGCTCACTGCATTCGATGAAGTGAGCTGTAGCTCACGAAAGCTTATGCTCAGATAAATTGGTTAGTCTCTAAGGTGCCACAAGTACTCCTTTTCTTTTTGCGAATACAGACTAACACGCCTGTTACTCTGAAACATACCATTTAAACGTGGTCTATGCAACCAAAAATTAGACTTAGGCTTTGAAAGCCTGCATCTAGAAGATGTTTAAAATATGAACTCTCTTGGTTATGCATGGTTTGCTAGCATTAACTGTCAGAGACAAGTCTGTTTCTTATTGGGGAAAAACAGACCCATGATGAAATTCTGCAGAATTAGTACAATTGGAATTCAAAAAGCATATGTGTATGCAGTGGCTTTATTTTATTTTTTACACTCACACGTTGGAAAAAAGTAAATCCAGCTGCTTGGTTTCATTTGGGAATACAGCAATGATTTAGCTGTGGAAAGGTGTCATTGAAAAACTCAAACAAGGCACATAGGACAGGGCATAAGAGAGTACTTCCATATCTGAAGATTTATTCTTTAAATAAAAAATGTTCAGTGTAACAACGGTCTCTTATAATTTCAAACAGCTCAGAAGATCTGAAGAGGATGAAGAGAAGGAAGAAGATATTGAAGTACCAAAGGCCATGGGAGATATATTTGAGTCATTGGCTGGTGCCATTTATATGGATAGTGGGATGTCTTTGGAAATGGTTTGGCATGTGTACTATCCTATGATGAGGCCATTAATAGGTAATGTTAGCTTTCATAGAGAAGAAAGTTTTAGTAATTAATTGTCTTGTAACGGGGGAAAAAAATCAAGTTAACTTTTTTTTTAACACCATAGAAAAGTTTTCTGCAAATGTGCCTCGTTCCCCAGTGCGGGAGCTGCTGGAGATGGAACCAGAGACAGCCAAGTTTAGGTAAGAGTATATTTGCTTGGTAAGCATTGCTGTAAAATATTTTTTAAACCATGCTTCACAGAATATTGAGAAATTTTAATGGATATTGATTGTGTTTGATCTGTCCTATACTGAGCAAGAAAGATTGTCTTTGTACTTACTGATTACTTTTTTAGGACGTTTTCCCTCAGAAAACTTTCTAAGTAAAAGATAAAAATAAATTCTATTTAATTATATATTTTATATACATTATATATGTTACCCATAGGAAGACCATGTGAAGAGTCTTTTTTTCACCTTTGCTTATCTTGGTGGTAATGTGTGTGTTTGTTTTTTGCAGTCCTGCAGAAAGAACTTACGACGGAAAGGTCAGAGTAACTGTGGAAGTTGTAGGGAAAGGAAAGTTTAAAGGTGTTGGCAGAAGCTATAGGATTGCCAAATCTGCAGCTGCAAGAAGAGCACTACGAAGCCTCAAAGCAAACCAACCTCAGGTCCCAAACAGCTGAGACGCCTCTTAAAAAAAAAAAAAAAACATTAAAAAAAAAATTTAAAATCCCACATTTTTTTTTTTTTAAAGTTAATGTTGAGAGGAACAAATTGAAGACAGAATTTAACGTTTGTTTGATAACAGAATAGCTAACAAAACATTTAACATGTAAAATTTTGGAACTAATTGTAGGTATAGGTTTTTGCGCAAACACAATCTTGTCTTCTTTCCTCACTTCTGCTTTGTTTAATCACAAGAGTGCTTTAATGATGACATTTAGTTAGTGTTCAAAGAATTGTTGTCAGGTTTTTTTGGTTTATTTTTATTGTCAGTACAGCTTTGCTTAGTGTTAGAAGGACAGGGATCTTATGCCTAATGCAGATGCTTGATTTATACATAGTAATCTTGAAACTCCTCAATCTGTGCACTAGTGCCAGTCATGAAGCAGTTTATAAACTGTACCGGATGATTTGGTATAAGAGAGAATAGGTGTGCCAGTATTGTCGTCCCTTCACCCACCCCCATCCCCACCTCCCATGTCATCTTTGCATCAAGATGGCATTCTCAGTCATTATTGCACTTATTTGTTAGGGACAGGTTTTTCTTTGAAATGGCTGGCATACTGGCAGAAATAAATTTCAACTTCCTGATGCCACATAGTCTTGCATAAAAAGGTTCTTGCCTTAAAAGTAAATAAACCCTCATTAATAATCTTTAATTTCTGATCTTTTTGGAACAAACTTGTTTTACATTCCCTTCATTTTTATTATGCATTTTATGATGATACAACTCTATTTACAGTACAACACATTAGTGTAGCTGTGACTTAACTTATTAGGGTTATAATAGAAATTGTATTCATATATGTGTAATGAGGTTATTTTTAACAATTCAGAGGAGGTGGTTCGTCTACAGATTTTTTTTTTTTTTTTAAATACTACAAATAAAAAATGGTCTTTGGCTAAAATTCCAATTTTACACAAACCTGCAAACTAGATAGTTCCAAGACTTGGAAACAAATAGTAATGAAAAATTGCACAGTTCAGGCTGTTGCGCTAACAAAATAACCTTAGACATATCACACCTAAAATATGCTGCAGATTTTATAATCAGTTGGTTACTTATTTAACAAATGGAGCACCTTTACACTTAGAAATATTTCCACATAAATTTCTTACTGTGCTTTTCACAGAGTTGCATGCATATTTCACTTACCAAAGCTGTGCTGTTAAATGCCATGAAAGCTGATGTTTGAGATAAACTGCCGTACTTTTGATAAATCTGTGATTTAGGTCCTTAATTTGGAGAAACTAGTTCATTGTAGTTTGTTTATTGGAAAAAAATCATACATTTTTAGGCTTTGCCTAAATCCTACATGTTTCTTTAATTAGATTTTTGTAGGCACTCTTCACTTAAATACCTCAGTTCTGTTCTGTTCTTTTCTTTTTTGCATGCATTGTTTTTTTGTTTTGTTTTTGTTTTGGTGCTATGTTTATATATTATGCTTGAAATTTTAATTTTTTGCACTGTAACTATAATACCTCTTAATTTACCTTTTTTTTAAAAGCTGTGGGTCAGTCTTGCACTCCCACCAATATCAGCAGAGATTTGCTGCAATTTTGCCCTGTTAATTATGCTTGAAGTTTGAGAAAGCTGAGCAAGGCGTTTTAATGATTTCCAGCACATTGGTCTGAACTTGGTGCTGTTTTATGTGTTAAAATTACAAATAAATACTGTATTTCCTGCTTTGAAAACCCCACTCCCTTCCATACACTTTCACTAAACAAACAACAACAAAAAACCAAACCCTGTCAGCTCTAGCTTTCTAGAAAATAGAAAACAAAAGCCCTAGTGCAGGGGATGGACATTAAGCTTCTCTGAAATACAGAATTTTGTAATTAGATTTTCTATCTAAAGTTTTTTTAATATTAAAATTATAATAATTCTTACAAAAATCTGGAAACAAATTCCTGGTATTGATAGTATAATAATACAAGTGCTATGTTTTTAAAACAAAATAACATTACTATTTTTGTTCTTCAATCATTATGAGAGCAAAAGAGTATCATGGGACGTTTAAAACCTGCAAGTCTTAAAATATATTTAAATTAAACTTGTTTTATACAAAAGAAAAAAAAACTTTGTATGAGTAAATTGGTATGAACCGCCACACAATTAAAAATTTATTGATAACCATTTCTTTCAGCCAGGAGTCAGGATTTTACAGCACACCAACGGAAAGTGCATTATCACTAATGTGAAAATTCCATGGCACCTGGCCCAAGGGTCAATTTTTAAGATAAGTCATACCATCCCTAAGGCTTAAAAAGAATAAAAGTTAATTATATTACAATGAATAGTATAAAGTAAAAATGGTGGGGTCATCTGCGAACACTTTAAGAAATAGGTTTCTTTCTTGGACATCTGAAGGTCATCGTTTCTTACAGTTTTGAGGTAAATCTGTTAGCAGTAAAAAATGATATGGAAAAATCAAACTTTTGCTACCAAGTGTTTGATGTAAAGAAAACAAACAAACCGAATGTGGTATTATGCTCTGTATTTCAGCAGTGGTCAATGATCCCCTTGTTACTAGATAAAGCCTATGAATTGGAAATAAGAAATGTGTAAAAAGAAAAGGAGGACTTGTGGCACCTTAGAGACTAACCAATTTATTTGAGCATAAGCTTTCGTGAGCTACAGCTCACTTCATCGGATGTTGTAGCTCACGAAAGCTTATGCTCAAATAAATTGGTTAGTCTCTAAGGTGCCACAAGTACTCCTTTTCTTTTTGTGAATACAGACTAACACGGCTGTTACTCTGAAAGAAATGTGCAGTGGCTGACTATAGTTTCTGCTGCTGATGTTTTTTAAATGCCGTAACTCTTTTCCAGTGTGACCTCACTGAAATGTTTCATATCCTTTGGGATAGAAAAATCATCTTAGTTTCCATGCTGTACAACTATGTGTTTCACTCTTCAGTTGATATGATTCTGATATTGGATAGTGTATGCTATTAATGACCTAAATCTGATAATTTGAAGGTTGGGATAGAAATCACTTGGCAATGGTGTAAGCACAAGTGTAAGTGGACTGTTGCAACCCATCTTCAAAAGCAACCACACAGACTCCTAAGAAATAGTGTGGGGGTTAGTTGGCATGAACCTTGTTTTTGATCTTCTTAGTTCTATTATACTGTACTTTAAACAGTCCTCCTAACTATGCTGCGTTTTTATTTTTATTGCTTTTTTTTTGCGCTGTTCTATTCATGTAGCACAAATAAGCATTGCACTTGGTACCATGCTTTACCTCATTTCAAGGGAAAAAATATGCTTAACAGAGGAAAAATGTGGTTTGGCCTTGCTGCTGTTTTGATTTACTGAATTTGAAAAAGATAATTATAATGCCTGCAATGTGTCATTTACTTGTACAACTTATATAGGTCATTTTTAATGTCTGTGGCATTTTTACTGGGTATGAAAATACAACAAAGACATGTTATGAAAATCTTGATTGTATTTTAAAGCTATTGTTTTTTATTACATCATTTTTACTGTTATGTGAAGTAATTAAAATTAGAATGACCTCTGACACTCCAGTATTTATCTCTGAACAAACCAACATGCTGTGTGTATAGTGTAGTTTTTACAAGAAGAGAGCCCATAGCAATTTGGTCAACTAAATCTCCCCTTTTTCTGGATATGGAGGGATCTGTAGTGACTTCTGAAGTGTTTGTTCAGCTTAATGCTGGTAACATTGATATCAAAAGGCCTACTATTTTTCAGTCTCATTACATGAAGCTGTGCTTTGACCACAGAGTATCGAATTTAACAAGAATTCAAGCCAATCTGAGTACCAGTTCAGAGTATAATGCAAAGTCTAGTAGACACATGGACAGATCCTTAATTGGCGTAAATTGGCATGGCACCATTGAGGTTTAGAGTAATTTCAGTTTACGTCAGCTGAGGATATGCCATTAATTGTTGTTTTCTGAGTTTTCTGAGTAACAGCCGTGTTAGTCTGTATTTGCAAAAAGAAAAGGAGTACTTGTGGCACCTTAGAGACTAACCAATTTATTTGAGCATAAACTTTTGTGAGCTACATCTCACTTCATCGCTCACGAAAGCTTATGCTCAAATAAATTGGTTCGTCTCTAAGGTGCCACAAGTACTCCTTTTCTTTTTGCGAATACAGACTAACACGGCTGTTACTCTGAAACCAGTGGATCTATTGTGAGTCCAATGAGAAGGATTTTGACCTGTGGTACTTGATTATTGGCACATTTGTATTTTTCAACCACTTTAATTTTCAAGAAGTTAAAATGGATTGATCTTTATTTTACACATTAAGTTTAAGAACATAAAACTATAATTTACAACCCTGAAATATAATCTAAATATCAACTGTAGCTCCATTAGAATTATGTTGGCAAATATTAGTAGAGGTCATTGTTGTATACTCCACTAGCAGTTAAAATTAACTTCTTTCAAAAGTAACTTTATAAATATATATACACTTTACCCAATAAATCCTTTAGATCTCTTCCCCCTTCTAATTTGATAGCAACCACAGACTACTTAAATTGCTTTGTAGATGTACTCAAAATGCACTGCAGCCGCAAGTTAGGTAGAAAAACAACAAATGTTTGTGAACAAGAACTGGGAATTGCAGGTGTTTTTATTGTATATAGTTTGACATAAAAGATGGTTAAAATCAAGTAGAATGAATAACAAATAAAATTTGATGAACAATAAAATATTTACCATCACATGCTGCAGCTGTCTTTAAGGGACATAAAATGTAATTCATTCATACTGTAATCATGCTGCAGAAATTTGCAGCCTGCACCTTATGGATCACAATTACCTTTAATAGTTTTTTGTAACAATTGTAGCTGAGTATATCTCCAATAAAGTTATGGTCTGTTCACTTTGTGTTGTCTTTCTTTAGTTTAATTAGACTGTTAGAGATTTTCAAGAAATATTAATCTTTTATTGCTCACAATTCTTACTTTTCAGTTTGACTCTAAATAACAGTCTTTAAATATAAAACGTATTTAAACAAGACTAGGAAATAATGTTTGTGTACAGTTCCGCTCATCCCGTTCCACTGATGGACAGAAAAAAATTCTCAAGGTTTCTTCAGAATTATTTTAAAACCCCCATACACACCTCTTAACCCAGGTGAGAAATAATGGCCCTGAAGCCACAACTGGATCTGTGTAGGTGTGCCCTTACACTTGCACAACGTCCCCTTGCAGTCAGTGGAACGTGTATGAACCAAGGTCTGTCTGCACAGATGGGATTGCACAACTTGGGCCAATATTTTTAAGAAACAAATGTGATAACCTATGCAAATAAAAATACATTGAGGGTAAAACAATTTCTCCCCCTGTCCCCATTTATGGTGTTTTTCTTTTGGCATCTCACTCATCTGGGATACAGAAAACAGACTAGTCCAGCTTGTGCACTAGTCCCATGCTGCAAAGTTTAAGGAGGCAAGATAGACCTGTCAGTCACCAATCAAGGATTTGCTCTCCCTTCTAGAAAACTCCCCAGTTTGATCCGCTTCTTGGCGTCAGCAACAGGCAATTTACAGCCCTCATCCTCCTCCCTAAACTAGAAAGCATAAAGAAACTCCTACTCAAATGCCAGTGTGGCGCCACCATTTTTTCCCCTTCCTCCTGTGAGAAAGCCTAACTGCCTGTGATTTGTTCTGTGGCTGTAAGTGAGCCTTGCACCACAGTATGCAGCAGCCTCTCCTCTACTCCAACTCAAGTTCAGCATAGTGGATGCATCAGCTAAGAGGTTCTCGCTGTGCTCTTCCCCCCTACAGCCTTCCAAGCAAGGTTTTGGCACTCTGGTCTCAGGAGCAGCCTCTGCCTTATTGCTCTAGCTTCCCATCTGAGCAACTGCCACCGCTGACTGGTAGGCAAAGTTCCCTAAGCTTTGATACCTTTGTCTAGGGGGACAGATTGCGTAGGGGGACAAAAAGGCTGCTTTTGGCCCCTCCTCCCAATGTGGCTGCCTTAGCAGCATTAGAAGCAAGTGGGGAATGCTGGTGCCAGATTGGTGGACGGACTCGGTAATCTAGCTCTAGCCTCCTCTTGTAACAGACACACCAGCAGGGCTTCCCTTGCAGAATCTTGAATGATTGGCCCTTCTGCCTCCAGTGCAGATCTCTCTGCTGCTGACTGTGGGGTGCCTTTGTCAGCTGCCAAAAGTCCTTCTAAATTGGGTGTAAGTGCTTTTCTTTAATAGTGTGTATAGGCCTTTCATACGTGTTCCCACATCTTCCTCACTTGTCTTCTGGACGGCTTTTAGTAGGGTAATGGTGCACATCTTGCATCAGCCTTTCCAGCTGCTCTCACTCACTCAAGTAGGGTCCCCCACTTGTTGACCCATTCCAATAGTACCTCTCAGCCCGAGTGGTCAGGCTGCAGAGGCCCACCACCAGAGCTGTGTCAGGGGCATCCTTCTTGATCCTTCTGTTCAAGGGCCGTCAGGAAAAAAAGCCAAGGTCAAGTACAGAAGAGCCCTAATGGGAGAGGAATTGAGCAATTGAGGGCCAAGACCCTTCTCAAGTCAGGTCTACAATACCGCTTAAGTCAATCTAACTTACATCGCTCATAGGTTGTGAAAAAGACACACACACACCCCAAGCGACGCAAATTACAGCAACCTAAGCACTGTCCACACAGGCACTATGTCAGTGGGAGACACTCTCCTGCTGACACAGTTTCCGCTTCTCGTGGAGACAGAGTAATTATGCCAACGAGAGAGTGCTCTCCCATCAACATAGAGCATCTTCACCAGAAGCGTTATAGAAGTTGCTCATCCTTTTACATGAAGACATTTATGATACAAAACATTCCTATATGTGATTTATTTTTAATGGACCCATAGCTAAATGGGTCTGTGCTTACTGTGAAATTCAAACAATACTGAGATCTTGGTGAGAGAAAATCCAAGGACCCTTCATATATTCTGAAAATGGTTATCATTTACTTCTCAGTATTACTGTCTTCCCCTTAACCTTGCTTTGTGCTTTTTTACTAATGCTGCAGTTGAGATAATTACCTTCTGATAACTCAAAAACTCTGATAACTCAAAAAGTACCTCCCTGAGGCTTTGGGGCCCAATCCAGTTCCCACTGGAGAGACTCCCAGTTGGGCCCTTGACTTGCATGCAATTTTTTAAAAAAATCCTTCATATAAAAGTAAGGTAAATTCCAGATTGAAAATTTTAAAAAAGGGTTGGGGGGGGGGGGGGCATTTCAACAACATGACAAATGGTCTCTGTCAGAGTTCTGGGGTAAGTGCACCTCTGACCCCTTTGTGGCCTCCTTGAGGGTACTTATTGGCAATTCACTGCTGTTTAAAATAGCACACATTTCAGCAGAGTGGCAAGCAGAGTTTAACCAAGAGGGCAAAGCCCTGCTGGAAGG